GTTAAATTTGGGTTCAGGGTCGACACAATTGTTCCCAGAACGCATTTTTATGGAACGCCATAGCTGCCTTATATAAACACTTCTAAAGTGGTCGTGTCCTTTTGACAGATAGTGCTGTGGTTCTGATAAATGGTTATGTGGTTTAAATAAATGGTGATGTCGTTGTGATAGATGGTCCTGTAGTTTAAATAAATGGTCCTGTGGTTTTTAAAAATGGTTATGTCGTTTTGAAAGATGGTGCTGTAGTTAAAATAAATGGTGCTGTGGATTTAATAAATGGTGCTGTGGTTTTGATAAATGGTTATGTCGTTTTGACAGATGGTGCTGTGGATTTAATAAATGGTGCTGTGGTTTTGATAAATGGTTATGTCGTTTTGAAAGATGGTGCTGTAGTTAAAATAAATGGTGCTGTGGATTTAATAAGTGGTGCTGTGGTTTTTATAAATGGTTATGTCGTTTTGACAGATGGTGCTGTAGTTTGAATAAATGGTGTTGTGGATTTAATAAGTGGTGCTGTGGTTTTGATAAATGGTTATGTCGTTTTGAAAGATGGTGCTGTAGTTAAAATAAATGGTGCTGTGGATTTAATAAGTGGTGCTGTGGTTTTCATAAATGGTTATGTCGTTTTGACAGATGGTGCTGTAGTTTGAATAAATGGTGTTGTGGATTTAATAAGTGGTGCTGTGGTTTTGATAAATGGTTTTGTCGTTTTGACAGATGGTGCTGTAGTTTGAATAAATGGTGTTGTGGATTTAATAAGTGGTGCTGTGGTTTTGATAAATGGTTTTGTCGTTTTGACAGATGGTGCTGTAGTTTGAATAAATGGTGTTGTGGATTTAATAAGTGGTGTTGTGGTTTTGATAAATGGTTATGTCGTTTTGACAGATGGTGCTGTAGTTAAAATAAATGGTGCTGTGGATTTAATAAATGGTGCTGTGGTTTTTATAAATGGTTATGTCGTTTTGACAGATTGTGCTGTAGTTTGAATAAATGGTGATGTGGATTTAATAAGTGGTGCTGTAGTTTAAGTAAATGTTGCTGTGGTTTTGAAAAATGGTGATGTAATTATGTATATGGCGCTGTTGTTTTGATACATGGTGCTGCAGTAATGATAAATGGTGATGTCGTTTTGATATATGGTGGTGTCACTTTGGTACCTGGTAGTGTCATTTTATATATGGTGCTGTTATTTTTATAAATGGTGCTGTAATTTTGCTATATGGTGATGTTGTTTTTATAAATGGTTATACTATTTTGATGTATGGTGATGTTCTTTTTATAAATGGTGATACTATTTTGATATATGGTGATGTTCTATTTATAAATGACGATACTATTTTAATGTATGGTGATGTTCTTTTTATAAATGGTTATACTATTCTGATGTACGATGATGTTCTTTTTATAAATGGTTATACTATTTTGCTATGTGGTGATGTTCTTTTTATACATGGTGATACTATTTTGATGTATGGTTCTGTTATTTTTTATTACGATGATGATGATCTATTTATAGATGACCTGTTTGTTTACTGGAACATTTTGATCGGTTATTTTAAATTATGGAGACCTTTGTTTTTCGCCAACTTTTATACACTCTAATCTGAGTTTCATCATATCTTGACTGTTATTTATTCTAAAGTATTTCATTTCCTGTATAGATAACTTGCAGACAAAATCAGGCATGATCTTTTCATATTCAAAAAATGTCCACAAGTAAAAGGTTTTTTTCAAAACTGCTTCCATTGTTTTCATCAGTTAAACATTTCAATTTTTATTTTAATTTATCAATCTCAGAGAAAAACATTTAACTCTGTCCTTCATGAGCATATTGTGAAAAATGGCCGTTTTCATTGAAAAGCCTCCTGTTACAAGTTCAACTGCTATGGAACTATGAAAAATGCTTTGATACTGATGAAAATTGGCACAAGTGTTGACTGGACAATAGCCTGTGTCTTAAATTTCCTGTAACATTGGCAACAGGGGACGTCTCAAAATTGCCAAAAATCACTTTTTTGCATTGTTTTTTCTTTCCATCAAAACAAACTAAGTTCAAAGTGCTGCAACTTCTCAATGGAATGAGATGGAGCAAAAGGCTTTTCAGCGTTGGTTACACGTTACCTTACGATCGACCTGAGGCTATTTTAGCCTGTCACATGTCCAAAATTTTCTTGGCGATGAGGGCGACTGTTGCCTACTTCAACCCCCCCCCCCCCCAAAAAAAAAAAAAAAAAACAGAAGAGGGCACATCCCCTTGATGTACCATTTTGATGGGGGCGGCGCCGAAAAACTGGTCACTTTTTTAACAACATTTCTCAAACGAAAAACAGTGTCTAGGGCCTAAATAGGGCATTTTTTCACTGTTTAATGCCTCAAAAAGGGGAGGGGTCTACAAGCCGTCAAAACACATCTATATGAGGTAAAGGGTTAAAGGAGGTTTCGCCATATTTTTCTCAGAAATAAGTAAATGACCATCTCCACAGTTCAGAAAAACATCACCATGTACAAAAATCACAGCACCATGTATAAAATGATAACACCATATACCAAAACAGTATAGCCATATACCAAACGGCATAACAGCATTTCAAAACGACCAAAAATTACCATTTATCAAAAACACAGAACTATTGATTAAAACCACCTCACCATTTATCAAATCCATAGCACGGTCTATTGAAACGACATAACCATTTATCAAAATTTTACAGGACCATATTACAAAACGACATAACCATTTATCAAAATTACAGCACCATCTATAACAACCACAGCAACATCTAACAATACGACATAACCAATTATCAAAATTACAGCACAATCTATAACAACCATTGCATCAACTAAAAGGACGACCTAACCATTTATCAAATCCACAGCACCATCTTACAAAACGACATAACCATTTATCAAAATTATAGCACCATCTTTAACAGCCATAGCATCAACTAAAAGAACGACCTAACCATTTATCAAATCGACAGCACCATCTTACAAATCGACATAACCATTTATCAAAATTACATCACCATCTATAACAACCACAGCACCATCTAACAAAACGACATAAACATTTATCAAAATTACAGCACAATCTATAACAACCACAGCACCATCTAACAAAACGAGATAACCATTTATCAAATTCACAACAATGTCTTTTAACATGACTGCACCATATATCTAAATTACATCACCATCTATCTGAACGACATCACCATATATGAAAATAACATCACCATCTATAACAACCACAGCACCATCTAACAAAACGACATAACCATTTATCAAAATTACAACACCATCTTTAACAACCATAGCATCAACTAAAAGAACGACCTAACCATTTATCAAATCGACAGCACCATTTTAGAAATCGACATAACCATTTATCAAAATAACAGCACCTTCTATAAAAACCACAGCACCATCTTACAAAACGAGATAACCATTTATCAAATTCACAGCACCGTCTTTTAACATGACTGCGCCATATTTCTAAATTACATCACCATCTATCTGAACGACATCACCATATATGAAAATAACATTACCATCTATCAAAACCATAGCACCATCTATAGAAACGACATCATCATTTATCCAAAGGACATCACGACTTGATAAGAGTAAATATAAGGCAGCTGTGGCGTTCCATACATTTTCGTTTAGAAATAGCTTGCAAAATGCAATAAATGTATGGGTATCTAGTATCTACCAAGTAAAATAAGGAAACAATTTCATGATGTTGGCACGGACGCCAGACGTCCTGGCATAAATGTTACTTTACCAGAGAAGGCCCGAGACCATGTGCAATGGAGACTCCGCAATTGTTCACTGATGAGTCTATATTATGCCAATACTTCACAAATAGACGCACGAAGGCCAAGTGAATTGAATGTTTTGCACCAGCTTGCTTCTCTGAACAAGACCGATATGGTGGAGGGTTTCACATGGTATGTGGAAATATAAGTGTATATGTCAAAACAGACCTCCATATTTTCGATATTTACACATTGACAGCAAAAAGGTATTGTTGTGATCGAGATTCTTGACGTACATGTTTGGCCATATGCATGTGCAGTGTGTCCCGTTTTTATTCTAATGCAAGACAATGCTTGCCTCATTGGCCAATACTTGCACGTGAAACAATCGAACTCCTGCCTTGGCCTGCAAGATCCCCGGACCTCAACCCGCTTTAACTTGTGGGACATGCTTCAGCAAGACATTTGCTGGTGCAGGCAGTCATTATTGCGGTACAGAATTCTACAATTTAATATCGATCGGCTCATTTACAGCATGCCTAAGGGCTAACATGCTGTATATGTATATTGAAACTTATTCCATGCAGCCTGGGACATAACTCCTTTATAACTCCGTATTCAGTATTGTTCAGTTAACTCCCCTTGATCTTAAACTCTGCGACCATGTATACTAAAGTCTTGTATTCTATATTTTCACTAAAACATGATTGTCGATGTGACAGTGTATATGATCATTACCCCAAGGCGCCTGAGCGGCTAACAATTGTTCTTGGAAGCATTTGGAGCCGTGGAGACCCCACCTTGATCTCAGTCCCATAAATGGGACTTTTATGGGACTACATGTCAGAAAATTACAGTCGACAAATGTGTCACATTTTTTTCGCGGTGAATGAGCTGAGGTATGGAACGAGTCATTTTTATAAATTAAAAGAAACCACCGCCGTGTTAAGACAAGGCTTTATATGGTTAATTTAGGTTAGGGTTGTCTATACTGTACATATTAAATGTTTTGGTATGCAACAATGAAGGGTAGTTTTTTTTTCAACAGTGTCTTTCAAAGTCAAAAACATTATTTGTAGATTTCAATTGTATATTTTTCTTCTTTAACTTTTTTTTAAATGTCTAATATTCGCCAAAGTCGTGGCCTTATCAGGCTTATTCATTTCAAAGACTGGTAGCACAGTCCTGTTCACGTCATGTCTCTTACGGGCCTCTTGCTTTCTCTTTCTTCCGATTGGTTACCGACTGGAGGTGTGTTTGTTGTGGGAAATCGAAATGCATCTGCTTTTACCGTTTACCACATGGTGAGTAGTCGCCCCTGCAATCGATTTGGACGTTCATTAGAACGCGTCAAGGATTTTAATGATTTATGGTAATATGTTTATGTTTTACTTATTTCGTTAATATTTTTTCCTTTTTGCAGTAACATATCGCATTTAAGAATAAATAAGTTTGGATAAAATCTTTAAACATTCACAATTTTTCAGCAATTTTCCGACACCGAAGGACACGATGACGAAAATGGCGGATGTCGGCACAACAGTTGTAAATGACTTTGAGTATGATTGCCAGAGATTTATCTTACTCACTTTGTTCAGTCAAATTGTTTATCTAGTTGTTAAATCTAAATTAATTTGTTAAAATGCTTAATGTAACTTACTCTATAAACTTTGTGACATTCGTCCTCAATAATATTCGACCGCAATTATAATCATTCATAATTTTTTGTTATGCTTGACAGTTTCTGAATACACCTTAAAGATACTCTTGATTTGAACCCAAGGGTCTGTTCCTTGTTTTAAAGCTAAATAGAGCAGCGATGGCCGCTAGGACTGCAACTTTTCACCAATGTTTGATATAATTTTGATTGCAAGAAATATACATGTAGTATAGTATGTAATATAGTCAGTGTTCAAGATATGTTCTTAAAAAGATTTTTTTAAGTCCTAAAATTTTGATAAGAATCTCCTTGAAAAGGTGATAAAATCTTGGAAAAGTCCTTGAATTTTAGTTAGGTGACAAAGAGTGGGACTTCAAATGAATTAAAGTTCCTCAGTTTGTAGAAATGGGATAGTAAAAGAAAGTGTATTTTGTATTAAATGCTCATTATGAGTAATAGATATACAAAGTAGTATGACTTAGTTAACATGATATTGTTCCAAACTTAACATGCAAACTGGCCTGGCCCTATACTGATGCCAAAGTCTAATCACTTGGTTCCTGCAGGTTAAGAGTTAACCCTTATTATGCCGAAACTGAAAGTGAACAACCTTTAGATGATTTTCTTCACTTAATTGGGAAGAAGCCTTAGCCTCTTGATTTTGGAAAAAATTATCACTTCAATTGCTAATTTAGGAAGTAAAAAAGCAGGTTTAGGATCTGATTTTTTGGGAAACTGCATGATTTTAATTAAAGAAAATTTCAATTGGAAAAATGCTTTTTATTGGAGTCTGTTATTTAAGCTGGAAAATCACTGCCTTTGTCACAAGTTTTAATAACAGACTTCAGCTAGTCCAGTTTGCTCATCTGTGCAATTATTGAATATGACCATTTTCAACTGGTCTCTTTCTAAAACTTCAGAAAAAGCTGACTTTACATGATTGCTGTTTAATGTTGTCATGCTTAAAACATAACAAAACAAAAAACATTAATTGCAGGGCTTATTTTAATAGTAACTGTCTGAAAAGTGTTGTTAATGTTATTATAATTAACATTTTAAATTTTTATAGATAATACACCGGGCAGGGATCATTCTGGTCAGGATTTTTAGTGAGAGATTTTCTCTCATTTGAGAAATTTTAATGAGAGAAATTAGATTTTCTTGAGAGATTTAATTTTCATGATGGGCGAGGTTGAAAATATGGAAATTTCTAACTTTTTAAAATCACTGTACATATAAACATTGTTTATCTAATGAGGATATAGATGTAGCTCTGTTTATTACAGTGATTTTTGTTTTCACTTTTTTGATTCACCCTATGCCTTTTCTTTTGTGAATTTTTTAAACATAATAAAATTCTTATTGTGAAAAATAAATAAAACACTTTCATTCTGAAATATAAAAGAATTATACATGGATATCTACTACAACTATTATTTGCTGCCAATGTTCCTAATGGACAACACTGTACTGTACAGAAGTGATTGTTGAAATTTGAAGACTATTTTTTATAACCTTACATTTTGTTTTCTTTATGATTCTCTTCACACACCTCCCTCCATTAAAAAATGTTCATTGAATATGTGACCTGAACACATAATGACAAATATCTCCATATCGACAAATATAAACAATACCTAAAGTATTTTTTATTCATAAACATCATTTTTAGTGTTTTTAAACACCTTTGAATAACACTCAGCTTCCTTTTAGTATTTTTTTTTTAATCACGGCATCGCGAAAATATGTGACAAATGAATATTTGTCTGTTTTCCGCTGAAACATTCACAATTCTAGCTGTTTTTGATTGCAATTACATAAAATTAAATACTTTTGTTCAATAAAAGAATATTTATTATTGGCTATTTCATCAAGAATCGTAAAACAAAATTTTTAAATTTGTTTTTTACGGCAAAATTTACCGTGGTTGATGTGACATTTAGAAGACAAATTTTAGGCTATTTTACCGATATTTGGTTTTGACATGTCCATTTTTATGTAAGTCTGTGTCAAACAATTTTCATTTAAATCAATTAAAAGCGTTATGTGTAAATTCTCGACTTACAGATAGATAAAGGTTACAATAGCGATCATACCGTATTTCTGTATGGTGAATTTGCGGTCTCCGATCGGCAATTATTTTAGGCTAAATAATTTAAAGTGGTGGACTACTTTTTGGAGTATTTTACACCGATTTCAATAATAAACAATTTGAAATTAAATTTTTGAATGGAATCGTAAATTTTTCATCATATTTTTGTGTGATTTTAGCATTCTTTAGGTTGTGATTAGACATTTTCCGGCTCAAATTGCCGTGCGAGATTTTCTCTCATTTCACAAATTTCTCTGAGATTTTGGTGATTTTTTTGCGAGAAATCGCAGAAATCGCCCCCTAGAATGATCCCTGCACCGTAATGGAAGATAAAATGATAACATTGCCAAAAAAACAAAAAAAATAAACAGTCAATACCCAGCTACTCATTTACAGTGTATATGAAGTTTTAATATCTGTGCAAGTGCTGTTCTGTTTTAAAAGTACATGAAATTAAAAAAAAATGGATCTTGATATCAGCTGAAGTACAGAGAAAAATATATAAATGACTTAATGTAGTGTCAGTAGTTTGGTTAGCTGCCAAGAAAATTTGCCAATCATATTATTTTTTTCTTTATTATAATCAGGGGTTTATTTTTTGTAACGAGAAAATGGCAGTTAAACTGGGTTATTGACAGTAAAGCAGGTCAAATTTGAAAAATATGCTTAACAGTTTAATTGGCCTTTAATCATGAATGCACAATGTAGTATACTGCATTTCATAGTTTTGTATGTTTTGGTGTCAAAACTTTATAGATACATATATAATGATACTAAGCAAAAAGATGGCTATTTGTTAGCAATTTAAATACTGAATATAGGCCCAATAGTATTTTCTTTCAAAATTGTATTACATTATTATAGAGATCTAATTAAAAAGAATATTGCCATATTATGAATAGAAACATTTTGATTGATATAATTAGGGTATTGTTTGCAATTGCATAAAACATTTGTTTAACTGTCAGTGTTATGTAGTACAATATGTATAAAGATAATAACTAAACTTGTGTGTTATACATTAAAGGAACTCCACTGATGTCCAAAAGTCTCAAAACATGAATGATGAAATGTAGATCACCTGGGGCACTAAAAAATAATATTTTTGTGCTGGTCTTAGCCCGGCGAGAGTGAAAAGTCTTGCAATACTTAAATTTTGATTTACTTTTTCACAATAAAAACAGTCTGCACGAAAAACTTTTTATGGACAAAGACATTCGGGCTTGGTCCATTAAAATATCACATAGCCCAAACAAATTTTAGGTAGCCCGAAAATTCATACAAAATTTTTCATAATTTGGCCAGGTTTTCAAATTTATATATATTGTGAAGAAATTGATAAAAAGCTTTGTCAATTGAATAACATTTATTTCTGATATTCTACACTGAAAGATAATAGATTTCTTTCAACTTCTTGTTGACTCATTTCCATAGGCTCATCTTCATCTATACCAGAATCATAAACTGAGTCGCTGTCTCTGTCAGAACATTCCCCGTGGTTATGATGCTGAAAATATTACGGAAAATAAAGTGAAATTCATTGTTATTAAATAAGAATAAAATTTTTCAAAACAACACAAATGTTTTACTTTTTAATATTATAAGTATATTAAAATTCAAACCTAAGCTAACATGGCAAACTTGTGAAATGGATAGCTTTTCTTTGAAATCGGAACAGTCAATTTATAATTATTATTTAAAGTTTTAAGTGATTTCAGTATCAAAATACAAAAAAATGGTTAGTCTAGACTGCAGTATAAAATTGAATACGGGTTGTAAAGGTAAAGAGCTGAATTCTGCTTGCTTGTTTTTTTTTTAATAGTAAACAATTAACAACTTCATGAAAAATGTTTCAAAAAGTAGCAATATACCTCTTCAGCAAATACTTGTTCTGGAGGAGAACTTTCTAAAGGTTTGTCTGTGTTGTCAGTTGATATCAGAATCTTGCTCTTGCTCTATAATACATGCATCTATGTGCGCCATTTTGACATTTTAATAACGCGGTATTTGATTGGCTTAAAATGTCTATGCATTATTTCAATAAGCTTACCCCTCTGGCGTTTTGGAAATACCAGTGTCAATACCCCGAAAAAAATCAATATGCTATACCCCTCTCGGCGGTTATAAATAGTATCGACGTATATTGGAAAATCCCGTGTCAATACCTCGAAGAAAATCAATATGTTATATCCCTCCCAGTCATTGTGTTTAAAATTCTATTTATAATCATTTCGGTTTCCCAAACAATGCAAGACCGTCGGACTATGTGCCCTGCCTTTTTAGCTAGCCCGAATGATTTTTTACTAGACTCGGGCTCGGGCTTTGCGTATTTTTCGCAGACTGTAAAAATAATCATTCTGGAAAAACGCAGTGAGCAAATGATCACAAGCCATTGGCCCAGGCCTACATCAAATGGAACATTAAGGCCATAGAAAATTAATCTTTAGACTCTCATCCAGGTTTCAAGAAATAAGTGGGGCGGGTGGGTGGAATTTATAATTTATTTTATCCATCACTTTTAAGACCTGAAAAAACAGAAATGTATGAATAAACAAAAGTGTTTAAATCTATATTTTGATGAACGTCGCATCATTTCCACCCAGATTTTGATCAAAACTAAACCCAAACCAATCACAAACAGTTTTCTTGTTTACTGCATCATATATTTCACATATGACGAACATTTTGACAATTTTACTGATCGAAAACGAACGTATTTAAAATCTTGATCACTAGACGCTGTAAACCTCAGTCTGATTTTTATGCGTTCGTCCCGCGAATATTCGACCACGATTTTCGGACGAATTTTCGTCCACAGACGTCTGCGAAATGAACAATTTTTTTTTATGAAAATAAATTATTTTGGAGCGGAAAGATTTTGATACGGGCGGGCGAGGATGAGAGTCTAAAAATTAATTTTCTGTGGCCTAATCTCGAAAAAATATTTTCGGTTCTTTTCATGTCAAAAAATCTCAGTGAGGTCCCTTTAATCATTAATGTTTGTTCTGGCTGACAATAGTCTTCACTTGAATCCATGGTTCTTCTATCTACAAAAATATGATAATGATAACATATAATGCACATTTTATGATGAGGTGACTTTCATTGATGACCTAGACTGCAGACATTGTGTAACATATTTTGTAGCATGTGGTACACAGGTGTTATATAGAGTAGACAATAGTGACCTTGATATACACTTCTAGTTTATACACACACATCACCAGTTTAGTATACAATTATACAAGTTTACAAAAAGTAGAAAAGTCTGTAGGTGGATTGAGAAAAGAGGAATGTAAGTTTTATACCTGTTTTATGATATTATTCATCTTTGATGTACCTGAATATTGTTGCTTAATTATAAATTATTGATACATAGACATGTAATGGGGTGGGGGGGTATACATTTTTGTAAGGTAAAAAGGGTAACAATTTGGATAAAGTTGAGTATTTTAAGAATGTCTTAACATTGTCTTTTTCTCAAAGGTTTATTTTTCTCAAAGGTTTATTGCTATCCCACAGTACTTTTTATAAATTCTTACTTGCTTAATTATAATATTTATTAATTGATTATAAATTATGTTCAACATCTGACAGTATTGGAATTGAAACATTTATATTGTTGTCTTAAGAATTAACTGAAGAAAAGATAGTACATTAATAAAGCCTGGTTTAAATTTGCTTTGTTTTTCAGATAAAATGCCAAACTGCCTTAATCGGGGTTTGATTTCTATTATTTGTGTATTTTGAATAACCTAATGCCTAGGTATAAAACCAAACAATAGGAATTTAATGATTTGACATGTAGCTTGGAAACTTTGTATGATGCAAGATATTTATTATAGTTAATACATTCAAGATGTTTTACAAAGTAAGCAAAATTTGGTATGCAATTATTTACATGGATATTGCATGTAGTCAAGGTCTCTGAGTTTTTTGTGTGTGTTTTTGATAACTTAAAGTTATAATGTGCTTATTAAATAAGCCAGGGTCTTTCAAATAGACCTTTATAATATTGAATGACCTTGAATAACCCAATGTTTTTAGTTTTATGAAAGTGACATGGGAGAGTATGACAATCTGTCAATGTTACTATTGTCCTTCTGTCATGTTAGTGCAGACTGAAGGTTGTTGGATCTATATCAGTTACCGGCACATGCCTGTAATAATGCTCTAAAAAGCATGATCTAAGATCTTTATTACAGCAGTAATGCTGAAAAGTTGCCAAGATGACCAGTGCGATGATGATGCAACTTTAAACCTGACAAATATAACAAATCAATTTAATAGTAATTTAAAATTCATTAATTAAATAATAAAAGGTGATATTATAGGGCTCAAATAAAACTCGGCTCAAATAAAACTCTTGCAAACATGCAAAATGCAAGTAGAAATGAAAATGCATTGCAGTTTAGTTTTTTTTAAAAACTAATACAAATTTAAAAGTAAAAATGTGCAAAATTGATGTTAATGTTGAAGAAAAGAAAATTGTGATAATCTAGCAAAAATAACAATGTTTTTATACAATGTAGCAATGCAAGGTAAATATATAAATCGTGTGTAAAAAAAAAATGCAGTGCAAAAGTTCATTTAGGCTGACAAAAATTTGGAATTTGAAGCCCAGCCCTATAACATAAAAAATACATTTACATCACTCAGGATTATATGAAGCTGTAATAAGGATGTTATTTATAAAAACAGTTTGTTAACTTCCTTTAAATTATTGCATTTTGAAATGATAATCATATTAATAGGAAATTGGTATAATAGGTATACTTTTCATTCAAAGGGATTATTTTAAATAATTTAAATAGATATGAAATTGCCCATTTTACGTCATAAAATAGTTTGGAAATGCTCCAAAATTTCAATAAAAACGTTTGTAGGTATTAAAATCAGTCTGTTCCACATTATTGGGTCTTTTCATAATCGTGCGTTTAATTAGGACATAAAAATACTCGGCTTTTGAGACTAGTCTGTGTATTTCGTCACCAAAATATTTTGTAAAAATTCGATCATTGATTGATTTTAACTACTATAATGTCAAAAACAGGGACGGCACAGTGCAAACAAGTTGTATGCTGTATGTGTTCCAATGTTTACAATTACAGAAACTCTTGGGTATAATGTTTAGTTTGAAATTTGATGTTATCTTAATTAAATTGTCAAAAAACATGAATTCTTCTGAGGTTAACTGTGTCAAAATGTATTAAATGAAGAAATGATATATTGTGATGCTGTTGTTTTTGTTTTCCAGGCATATTGTTGTGACAACTCTGATGAAATATGATTAACTTGGTTCCTGTGGTGAGTTGAAACTCTGCTTTGGAGGTTGATGGAAATGTGCACAGTGATTACAAAACAGCTATGTCTGGAGAAAGTGAAAATGTGTGTGAAAAGGATGTGTGCGCGAGGCCAAGGAAAGGGTCCAGTTTTTTGCAAACTGTTTCAGGAACACTAGTATCTGTCGAGTTGCTGACAGATATGAGAGCGTCACGGACTAGGAAATCTGCTAGACGTGTCATCCTAAAAGCCAGTATTACGTCAGTTATTCTTTTGTCTATTGCTTTCATTATTACTTATAGTGTAATTCTCACTTATGTCAGTAATAAAGTGCCTCTAATGCGACATCATGATGAATCTTCATCAGGCGATAAATCAAAATCCGGTAAACGTTTCAAACTGATAGCACGGCCTGTTGCTAATTTAAATCGTATCCGCATGTTAAAAACAACGAAAGATGTTGTTGTGAAATGGGATATACGAAAGTATGAAGATGTTCATTCTGAAAAACCGGTATGTCATAAAGAAAGCAAAATAATCATTCTTATTACCTCAGCCCCTCAGAATTACGAGCGTAGGAAGTCGATACGAGAGACATGGTGTAGGCCATCAAATTTCAATCTAGCCTCAATTCCATGGCAGTGTGTGTTTTTAATAGGGCGAAGCTCAGTGCATTTATCAAGTGACAAATTAGATAATGAAATAAATGATTTTCATGACATTCTTATAGGCAGCTATATAGACTCGTATAGAAATCTCACAATAAAAACTATGCATGGATTAGAATGGGTCCGACGGACTTGTCCGAGTGATTTTGTGTTAAAAACTGATGATGATGTATATGTCAATACAAAATTATTGCACAAATTAACAAGTAATACTCCTAAGAGTAACTCCTATATAGGACTAGTGACTCAAGCTGAAGGTAGATTAAAGGTTATACGTGACCCAGACAGTAAATGGTTCGTTTCGATGGAGGAATACCCTTTATCTCACTATCCCCCTTATGCTGTTGGAATGGGGTATCTTATGTCGAAAGACCTTGTTGAAAAACTGGTCAATACAAGTAGATACATTCCACCGTTTGCCAACGAGGATGCTTATGTTGGAGTCTTAGCCGATCATTTTGACGTGAAGCCCCAAAGAAGTGGCCGTTTTACACTGAGTGGCTGGGGTTTACGGACTTGTAACTTTCTATATGTAGTTGTGGTTCATCATGTGAGTGCTGAAGATCAGTATAAATTGTTCGATACTAATCAGGAAGCTTTCCAGATATGCAAAGACGATGCCGATACTGAAGAGCTCACTTGGGTATAGCAGTTACAATAGGTATATACAAATGTTTTTTTAAAAATGTATACTTTAATAAATTTACAGAATAATCAGATTTATTGAATGTGATTGGGTTTCTTTTGGTTAAAGCATGTAAATTCATCCTTTCAAAGTTTCTTTTCACAAAAAAATGCTTTTTTTTTTTAAGTTTTAAAATAAACAAGTGTGTATTATTCTGAACCATACATTTGTATTTTTATTTGATGCCACTGAAAGGGGAAGGCATTTCAACTTGCATAGTCCACCTGGCTTTCTTTGTAAATATACATTCAATTTGATTTATATGTATGGTAAGTTTAATGCTTACAAGCTTGATTTCTGTATTAACTGCTATGAGAATTCTATGACTGAAATGTTATATTATAGCCATATAAAGCTCTATGATTTTGTTTACATGTAGTTAAATTTAATATAAATATTACAATGTAAATTATTATTTGAACCAAAAAGACTTGGTATAGTCCTGTGTAAGTCAGATGTCAGTTTTGAGGTGTGGTTTACATGAAATAAGTATTCTGTTGTGTGGTAATGTTATTAACAAATAATTAAAATCCTCTTCAAAAAACTTTCATGTACAGTAACAAAGAAAAATAACCCTGAAGATTGTTGACATTATAAATTACATGTAGAACAAGGTAATATATTATTTGATTAAGATTGATGAATTGTATGATAATGATTTTCTTGAGATTATCATCTTGAAAATGTCAAACACCTCTTGAATTTAAAGAGGCTTTTAGATTGGAAGATGATATATTATGTGAAGCATTTCCTTTCATTGTCCTAGTACATGTAGCATTTTACTGCTGCTCTCAGCAGTTTAGATAACCTATTATGATCACTCTTGTTCTGGAAAATAAAATTTCAAACTACAGTATTCTGAACCAGGTTAATTGTTAAAGTAAAATCACTTTTCTTTAACAATGTTGCCTCTCCGCAAATATGCAGTTTGAGTATGAGTCTGCGGGTTGAATACGAGTCTGGGTTAAATAGGAGTCTGTGGCTTGAATTTGAGACTCCTGGTTGAATATGAGTGTGCTGCTTGAATATGAGTGATGGTTGAATTTGAGTTTGCTGGTTGAATACGTCTGTTGGTTGAATACAAGTCTGCTGGTTGAATTTGAGTCTACTGCTTGAATTTAAGTCTCCTGATTGAATGTGAGTCCTGGTTCTATAATTATGTGTTGGCTGTGGTTGAATACAGTGATCTTTTTTTAGCACCAAAAGAAGCTGCTTTTACTTGGTGGCAAGGAGCCAGGTTTAGATAGGGCTTGTGCATTAACAATCCCTATTTATGGACTTTAATGGTACTTCATAGCTTTATTAAACCAATTTTTTTTTGTATGATTATTTATTTCCTACACTGATCAGGATGGTATTTTTTTTTAAACAAATTTATGGCCCTGTAATGCACAGAATAATTTATAACCAACACTTTAATATTGCAAAACATTTATATTAAACAAATTACTAAAAGCTGCATTTTCTAAGTGTTTCTCAGTTGAATTACCTTGTATTTTATTAATTTCAATTTTGTCATGCCTTTCTTTGAAATATATAAATGTACTTCAACAAAATAATATTCATTTCAACAAACACTTTAAGTATTAAATGCTCTTACTTTTGGTTCTATGCTAGGTGTGATAGCAGGGCTCAAATTTTACATAAGTTTGCAAACTAGCAAAATGCCAGTGAAAATTTAAAATGTCTGGTATGTACCTGCTTAATACCCATCAATACCCATCACCCTGCATAATGCATATACATTTAGATTTTTGCTTTAGGATTGTCTGTCTGATTTCCTCATGATTTAACACTTAGACTGCACAGATGTGCAGGGTGGCCAGCGCCATACTGGAGGCAAAGGCTACTTTTGGGTTCAGAACTGCCTGGGTGCGGGTTAAACCCTGTTTTTTGGTGTCACTTGACCTAAACTTTCCCCTTGTGACTTAAATCATATGAAAAATGTTAAATACAAATATTACAATGTATATAGAATAAATGTACTTGTATTTGTAATTAAAGAGATATTTTAAGTTGGCCTACTTTTAGATAAAGAACCATTCAATACAATACAATTTTTTCTTTTCACTTAAGAACAATCTTGACATGTATCATTCATACATATCTGTATCATTTTCAAACTTCACAAAAAGTTTAAAATGTCTATAATCCTTTGATCTGTTGTACAAAATTACGACCAGTGTTAAAAGTAGAATAGGACTACACCAAACCTTAACAATGTAAATTCTTGTTCAAATACCAACATAATCGAAATGTCAATACTTCTTCGCAAGTGTGGGCAAAATGATTTTAAACTTCCATTACATACTGTCACCTGCGCCAATTAACCAATAAATGATCAAATAGTGTTAAGTGTAATATTTAGTTAAACGCTCCTATAAGTTCTATTTCTGATCAGTTTAAGAGGTTGTAATAAAATTCTTTTCTTTTTAGCGATCACGGAAGACAGCTTGTTTATTCTGCCGATACTTAATATCGTTCAGGTCAAATTCTCCCAATATATCCTCAAGGGGTTTAGTTTTGGTAGTTTTCAAAATCATGTGATACTGTCGGATAGATGTCATTATTCAATACTGCATACATGTATATTGTAGATATATTACCAGTAATTTTATATATACGTGAAGCTTTCTATAAGATTTTACTGTGTTAGAGTTAGAATTAATTAGATGTTGTAATAGCAAAAAGAAAAAAATTAAAAGTTAGTTCATGACCCTTCTAAAGTTAAAGAGCTGTCTATTAAAAACTTTAAGGGATAACAGTACTTAGGCAGTTGACAGTTTACACACTGCACACATTTTGTATTATTAAGCAGTTTGTATAGATAATTCATTATGTGGCGTGGGTGACAGTCATTATTACAATCATTAGCCCACATAAAGGTAATAGAAAGCAATTTTTCCTTTATACTTAATTATGTATAAAGGCAAGGATCTTGAATTAACCTTCATTTTAACTTTCAGAAATAGTGTATCTTTTGACATCATTTTTGAACAGTTTTGTCTAAGATTGTCAATGTTATTGCAATTTAGAAAATATTTGATCGATATATAAATACTTTATCAGTTATTTGCCATTGTTTGTTCTTAGAGTCAAGACGGTATTTTAAAAAAAAAATCAGGCTTTTAAGATTTATATCAGTTAGACATTTGTCCATTGATTTTATATGTTCATTCTGGGAAGAAGTATAATGGGACAAGTATCTACAGACCAGATAAAAGGTCTTATATTGTTGTCCTGTTGACGGCTGATTGGTTAATAAGTGTAGTGTTTAAAGTAATAGAAAGAGCATTGAAACACTAGGCTATCGTATTTGTACGAGGGGGCGTAGTCTACGCCCCCGAGTATAGATCAGATTGCCGAGTGTTTTGATGTTCTTTCTCTTTTGTATCATAGCCAAACATAAAAACACGTTCCCTGTTGTCACAATATGAAACCCCGGGAAAAAGTAACCAATGAACTAGCATCTAAATTGATATTTCTGTTGCTTTCCCTTGATATTTCTGTCGCTTTCCCTTTCTCTTCCGTCACAATAAGTAAACCCCAGCAAAAATGAACCAATCAATGGGCATGCTCTGGAGTGCGGGTAACTAATACCTGCACTCCAGTTAAAGCACTGTGCATGTATATGTATACGATTTCACTCTGACACATTTTCAACAGAAATTTCTCTTATTTACATTGTTCATTACAAACAAAAATACCCCTTTACATAGACCATAATAATTAAGGGATTTTAATTGCCAGTGGATCGTCCCGTTTTATAATGTACCTTTGTTGATTGAGATGACAGCACCTGTAAGTATAATTTAATTTCTATTTCAGGAGGTAATGGTTCCCAACAAAGATGTTGCCAGCTAGAATGTTTGAAATGTAAAGAAAAGGTTCTGAATACTACCAATTGTACCAAGCATTCCAGTGCCATTCCTGTTGATATGGGAGACTATTCTAGAGGAATTTTAATAAAGGAGACTACTCTAAAGAATTATTGATAAGGGAGAGTACTCTAGAGGAATTTAAATAAAGGAGACTACTCTAAAGAATTTTTGATAAGGGAGAGTACTCAAGGGTAATGTTAATAAGGGAGACTACTCTGGAAAAATTCTCAATTTTGAAAAGCATTCCACTGATCAGGTTTTCAAATTTCTTGCCATGATGTGGACTAGTGTGATGAAAAAATATTGATCTGAATGAAATTGTACTAATTTAAGAAATTATACTGCTTTTTAATACAATTGCAAGTTTGTAAACAGGTATTAGTTTATTTTCAAGAATAACTTTAATAGAACTTATCACTGATTTGATATTGTTTTTCTTAAGAATATCCTTCATACAATATTTACTTAGATTTTGTTTTTCTTTTTGTTTTTACTTGAAATACTAGCATTCTAAGTTTTTAATGTAAAAAGTAAAAAAACAACTTTTTTAATTGACAATCTATTATTCTGTTTGAATATTTGAAAAAAACAGTTATACAAATCAAGTCATGTAATAAATTAATAGTAATAATAATAAAGAAAAACACTAAAAAATTTCCCATCTTCATATCTTAGTTTTATACCATTTTTGTTTTATTCTCATTTTTTGTTAGTGCTAGGAAGTTAGGAAACTTCATTAGCCCTTTGGTATTTTTTTATGCAGATTTTCCTTTTAAATTTTGTTGTTTTTGTTGTTCATTTTGCCTGATCTAGATGTTGTATAAACCAGTTTGTGTTCATTTATAATGATGTTGCTAGAATATAGAAACATGTGTCTGTTGTTGGAATTGAATGAACCTGCTGGACTTTGGTTCAGGATTTTCATATTTTTGTGCCGTGTAAAAGCTGGAATATCAAATTAAAACTGTCCTGTCTGTCTGATTTTCTGCTGAAAGGTCTTTCACAGAGTTACAGCCCTTTGATATACATTGTAGCTTAATTTTCACAATTTATCGGCATTATACTATTGTATAAGTTTGAGTGACAGCTAGTGATCTATTTTCAATAGTGTTGTTTGTTGTAAGGCAAAGTTATTTGTAAATAAAGATAACTTCCAAGTATTTTTAAAATTTAGGTATTGTTTGTTTCCTGATTTGATAATTAATTCATTATCCTTAGAATAGGGGAATTATTAGTTGTTAGATATTGGTATAAAATAGACTTTTTCCGAAATTTTGATCTCTTAGAATGTATTTGAATAGAGCTAGCAGGAGGGTTAGAGTTTTAATATAAATATTTATATTTTAATAATCATATAATAGTTTCAATTAACAAATTTTTCAGTTTTTTTGTTTTGTTTTTTTTTGTATCTAAAGTATGTCCAAAGAAGTTCATGTGAACTTAATTATTTTTTGGAAGTAATGAATTTTCTGCCTGTACTGTTAAATTGTAAACTTTAGGGTAAATTCCATTCCATAGATATATGTGCATGTATTATTTTTGGATTTGACGGTATTTTTATTGTACATGTACTTAAGTTAATATCTCAATCAGATAAATTTGGGAACATATTTTTGTTTGGGTTATTTCCAGTAGTCTTTCTCTCTGTGAGAAATCTCCAGGGTTGGTCATAACATCTTTATTGTACATGTACTAAGTGTAAACTAAAGCCTTGTCTAGTCTAGAAATACAACACATTAGGTGTTAAACTTATATTGTAGGGTTAAAAATTTAAGATTTTTGTAAGTTCATACTTCACAACTGTGCTGTAAATTCTGTCTATCTAATATTCTTGATTCATTATATGAAGGAATTATTGTTTATCAGGGTTTCCAATGAGCAATAATTTTTTTTTCCGCCACTTGGGAGAGTTCCTCTTGGTTGTCAAAAAGAATTCAAATTATCCTTTTTTGCCTCTATTTACAAGGTACATGTATCTAGAGCTTCAACTGTTATGATATTATATGGTGTTAAGCATCTAAAACTGATATAATATATCTGACTTAAGTTTTCTAAAATCTGCATACATCATAAATTGTAACTTTGACATTTAGTTAAGCACTTACATGAAATTTAATGATTTGTTTATTCAAACCCTATGTCTCCATACCTCTAAAATTTTCACATTTCAATTGACTACAGGGAAAAGGTAAAATGTTTTATCTTTTCACAGAATGGTTGTTAAGATCTGGACACTATTTAAGACTTTCCTTCTATTTTTATTTACCTCCAGCACAGGTTGATTTTGTATGATTCATTAAATAAAACTTACCTATGTCTGAATAAGTAAATGTACATCTTATCGGGCTTTTAAAACTTTTTCTTCTTTTTTTCATGTGTATGATATTGGTTCAGGAAGTTCAATCATTATTTTATTTTACAGTGAAGGTTAGATAAACCATAGTCTATTTACATAAGAAACTGTTTTGAAAGAGATTTAGGTTTCTGTAGATTTTGATATGTTTGAATTAAGTGTAACTGTCTGAAGATCTCTGCATTACAGAATTTATTTTTTTCACAGTTTAAAGGCCCAGTATGCCTCAGAAATGCTTTTACTTTTCTTTCTCAAATGCTTTTTAATTTTTGGTGTTCTTTAAAAGTATCCAAAAAGTTACTCATTGGCCAATTGCCTGAACCATCCTTTTCATCTGTTGCTTTTTGGCAACAAGTACATTTATAGTAAATTAGTATTTTGTAAAGAAGTCAAAATTCTACTTTGTTTACATTGTGCTACTTTTATGACAAATTACTTATCATTTACCGCTACTTTCCTCAGGTAACAAGCATCTAATTCCATTATTTAAACATTATAAAATTAATGTTTGCCCTTTCTAAAAAATTAAAAATTTATTTGTTTCTGAGGCTTAATGTGCCTTTAAGTTACTGTTACATGGTTGAACATAATTGTGTCTTCTTGAATGCCACTTGTTAGTGAAAAATGAAAAACAATTGCCAGAACAAATAAATGATTTAAGGAAATCATGTTTTATAAATTTTGATTTTGCTATCTTTTAACAAGCACATTTGGAAGAAGTGTGTACCTCATACCCTTTCATGTTATTCAATTTCTATTGAAGGGAAAGTTTTTTATTTTGTTTTGTTAGCAGTAATACAAGCAAGCTTTGCAGTTTTACACTGTTTCAAGTTTGATTTAGCGAGACTCGGGTAGAAAAATTAGTACACGTTTGATGGTTGAGTAAATACCTGCTTGTCATAAAAACGCTATCAAATGACATCCTGTTTATGTGATCTATATAAAAAATGTCAAAAGCTGTTGAAGGCTTTTATATAATATTTTTGTGTGCCGTGACACAGTTGGCAATGAAATGTTTAGGTATATAATAGTTGTTCAGGTTCATATATCTCAAAACTCACAGGTTGAAATTAAGGACAAAATATGTTATACAAAGATGGTATAATACATGTAGCAATGTTATAGAAATAGTCAAACAAAGAGCGGAGTGTGCAGTGTCTAGTATGAAATTTAATTGGATAATTTTCAGTGTTGAATTCATATAATGATTTAATTAATACATGTATATTAATTTACTTATATCAGATCATAATTATTTCTGCCTGTACATGTTACCATTATCATTTTTTTTTTACAAAATGAATAAAAACTGGAGCAGTGACTTCAATAGGTCTATGACACCAGTTTAGAGACAGCCCAGTACAATCTTACCAAACCTTACACAACTTGCCACTCAATTTTGATGCTTTGATGCTGAACTCCCTAAAACTAATAATGGACTACTCAAGTTTTACAGCAGGGCAAGTCTATTATGCATGTTCAGGTTTAAATTTTGTGTTACTTTTGTGCTTTCAGTTGATTCATGTATAAAGAATTATTTTTTCTAATGATTCATGATCGACATGTTTGACAGGATGTTAAAAGTAGAACCGGATAAAATGAGGCTGTTATCAGACAACAATCTTGAAATAAATGTTTTGGTTAAACAAACATATATTACAGTGTACAGATAGGTAGTAATAAATACCTGTACATGTAAATTTCTTCTTGTTTTAGCTTTATTTGCCAAGGAAAAATACGTATCGAGAATTTCTTTATTTGTATATGAGAAATTTTTTATTGACTTTATAATCGGAAATATTTTTGATGAATTTCACAATTTGCTCGTCAAACATATAGATTGAAATTGCCACATAGTAAAGTCCAAATATATCAGTTTTATAGCCTTGTCTTTTTTTTTTCAGGCAATTTAAAACGTAATTCTGTTTTATTTATTTGACGTCAAAAGAAGCAAAAAAGTAATTGTATTGTTTAAGCTTCAGTTCAAAGAAAATTACAAAAAAGGAATTATTGATGTATTTAATACTTTCAGATATGGCAAATGTTTGGGCATTTTTAGTTATATCTGTTTCCACCTTTACTGTACTGAATGTAGTAAATGCACTTATCCTGCTTTGAACAGGGCTTGTGTGAGAGTTTTAAGGGATTTCAGTGTTAAAGTAATAGGTTTGAGCAGCCAAGAGTTCAGAGTCTAGTCAGATGGCCTGGAAGTGCCGGCTGGCCTAGCTCTATATAGATAGTAAAACAATTCATTACTGCTAGAATTCTAATTAAGGGCAAACAAACTATTTTATAACACAATTTGCTGGATTTTTTTCAATATTCTTGCTTTATTATGTTGAGAAAATGTCCGATTATTATTATTATTTTTTCTTACCTGTTAAAAGCATTCTTTTTATGTTAAAAAATGGCATCAATTTTGTGAATTTATTATTAGATTCTTTTTATTTCAAGTTGAATTTTAGTTGATAGTATATTAATAAGTTTTTTTGGTGTGTGTTTTAACGCATATCAAATTAATTCAACCTTTTCTTTAGTTGTTATTTTCTTTAGAAAATGTTTTTACTTTAGAAAGTTTACTGTTATTGAATCAATTCTAAGTGTGTATGTATGTAATATTTACTCTTCAAACTGCAATTATAATTTGTTTATATGATAAAACATATTTTTCTTTAAAAGTTTGTATATTTAACAGTTGTATCGGGTGAAAGATTTTACCAGTCATATTATTCTATCATTTCAAAGTGCTATTTGTATATATGCTACGAATAATTGTCAGTTTTTTACACAGAAGTTTGAAATTTTATCAAGTAATAAGTATATTAGAAAAATTAACTAAAAATACTCCCCTATATAATATCATTATTGAGAAGTTATGTACACTTTCATCTTTTGATTTGTACTGTATGACTATCTGATATATTTCCTATATTGGACCCTAAACGATACAATATATCCTGTACTGGATGATTTTTTTTCAGCAATACTCTTGTTTAGATATAATACCATATTGTACAGTACAATTTTAAATACTAACTTTTAAATATAGGGGATAATTTTTATACTATATTATTTATATTATTTATTTGATAGAATTTTCAAACTCCTGTGGGTTTTTTATGCCCACAAATATGGACTTTTTTGTTGTTTTACATTTCAAAACCTTATTGAATTTTTGTGAAACCTTTTTTGAAATCTGGGTATATTTATGAATAGGGTTTGAGCACCTCTTCAGGTTAGCATGGGTAGCAGTTATTAAATTTTATTACCTTTTCTGCTATGGGCTCAAGTTGTGTGATGTTCTTTGAATTCTTTCATGTGAATAAAGCTACCCAGCAAACTTACAGAAAGTTGACGGTTCTATATACTCAGGTGCCTGTTTATGCCTGAAATAATACATAGAGTGGCTACCGTAGTCACCCTCCATCGGTTACAAACACACCATGTTACCTTAACAGTATCAGTGTAACTTTAAAATGTAACATTTCAGATTTTCAAGGAGTTTGTAACACCCTTAAGATGAACCCATTTGTATGAACTTAAGAAAGTTCTTTAAAAAATTTTGTTTCTCATTATTTTAATATTTTTGTTATTCATGGTTGTGAAGTGGTTTATTTAGAAATGATATTTTGAAAACAGAAGTGCTACATTGTACATGTGTACATAATAACTTTATGTTTATGATGCTGATTGTTTGAAAAACTTTCCTTTTTGTTACTGATAATATGCCAAAGTTTCATAAAAGCAATAAAAGCTGAAAGAACAAAGATGTTTTGTTGCTGTTATTGTTTTAAGTTCATAACAGACGAATGATATTAGACATCGAGTGTAATGATCATTTGTCTCCGACAACCGATACAAAAATCATGAGGCTGACCAATAAATCTAGATATTCCAAGCTATTGTTAAACAAGACATAGGGGATATCCTGCACATCAATTCAGTTTGATCGACTATAGTTCATCCTTACCACAACTTTTGTTTTTAATCTGGACAAAATCATTCATCATTTTTGTAGTGAAATTCATATGTACTGACTGAAAATAACAGTGCAGACCTTAAACAGATGGCTAATCTTGGTGTGCTCTTGTTACATGAGTGTAATCAGCTACTGTTGACAGTCTAAGGGTTAACTAAGTAAACTTAAATTCAGAACAATGCACGGCCCGGCAACTAATCAAAGATGGTATTTGGATTGGCCATAGCCAAGAAATCTGAAGGAGCTGCCCCCTCCCCCACAAGTATCAAAGAAAAATTGTAAGTACATGTATTGGGAATCTGATTGGCCAGAAACCAGCACAGAATACACACTGACCAATGAAAATTCTGAGATTCAAGACAAGGGTGCACAAATATGTTTTATAACATTTTTTTGTGTCGCATATAGGGATCACTTCTCCGTCGTCTGTCTGTCCGTCTGTCTGTCCGTCACAAAACTTGTCCGGACTACTCCTCATAAACTACTGGTGCAATTTCATCCAAACTTTACAGGAATGATCAGTACCAAGTCTAGTTGTGCATATTGTCAGCATTTTCCGGTTCAATGATTTTTGTCAGAGTTATGGCCCTTTAATAATTTTTAATTTTAAAGTTTGTCCGGACTACTTCTCTTATACCACTAATGCAATTTCAATGAAACTTTACAGGATTGATCTGTAGCTCAAGTCCTTGCGCATATTGCAAGGGTTTTCCGGTTGAATGATTTTTGGCCGAGTTATGGCCCTTTGATAAAAAGGTGTTTTTTTCTGTGTGTTGCCAGATACGCAAAAGCTTGTCCGGACTACTCCTCATAAACTACTGGTGAAATTTTATCCAAACTTTACAGGAATGATCAGTACCAAGTCTAGTTGTGCACTGTCCGTCTGTCTGTCCGTCTGTCACAAAATTTGTCCCAACATGAAATTGGCCATCATGAGGCGACACATGTGATTACTGATCGCTCTTGTTTGACCACAAAAAACTACTGTAGAAATTCATAACAATGAACAGTGGGCAAATTTATGCAAGTGAGCCTCACTATAGTATTTATAGGGCAGTACCTCATGGTGCTTGACAAAAATCAGGCTCTCAAAGTAAAAAAAATATTGTGTTAAGGCAATTCCTACTTTTTTCATTCATGATCGTATTTTATTAAATTGATGCAAGGAGATAAATAAGCCATCTGAAAGTGCATTTTGACAGGTGAAAAGTTGAGATTTTACATTTAATCATTCAGGTGCCCGTCTGGAATAAACTGGAATAAGGCCTATAGTGTAGTGCTCCAACACTAGTCTCACCATTATCTTAGTGATTCATATATACTTGACCGTAAACATTGCTTTTGTACAACAAAATGGAAAAAGAAAGCAGAAGTTACATAGATTTGATTAACTTTATTGCAGAACTTCAATCCTGGAGCAATGTAACGAGATCTTATTAAATAAAACAATTAGCTTTTCAAATGAAATATTTTTCTGAGGATTTGCATGATTTATTTTCAATAAAATTCATTAACACTTTATAATGGGTGTCTTTTGATTCAAATTATATCAAATCTTGTGTTAATTACGTAACACTTGTATAAAAATCAAATATCAGCAAATTTTGAAATTTGTTTAATTTTTGGCACAAATTTTAAAAATATCTTTCAGCTCAATTGTAGTGAAAGCTTTAAGCTTATCTCAACCACTAAAGTCCACTTTCTGGTGACTAGCCAGTACTAGCGACATATAAAGACCCTAGTAAGGGCTCAAAAACCATAATCTTTACGTTCAGAGGCAAAAAACAAAATACTCTGACTCAATCCAGTAAATCAAATTTCAATACCCTTATTTGTGAAATCCCTCAGTTTCTATAACAAAATTAATGTCTGTATGACAGGGAAAATGTTAACATCCGAAAATCCTCAAAAAAGTTTTTCACAGATATCTGCTCCTTTTATTTATCAACAACTATATTTCATTTTTAAGTATTTACAACAAAATTTAACTCAGTACAAAAGCTACTTAAACAAGTGAAATGAAATTCTCTGCAAAAAGTTTATAGCCAACATTATGGGCATTTTTTTATTTATTTTATTATAATAACAAACGAGACAATGCATGAAAATATATTGAACAAATATTTACAAACATATTATTTTATAGCATATCACAGATTAAAGAAAATAACAAAAACAATTTCATTGTTATATAAATTGATCAACCCTAAACTTGCTGCATTTTCTGTATATACATTTTGTATGTGCGGACCATGTGTTGGCCCATAGTGCAGACCATGATCTGACGGCATGTGCTGGGCGGATCTTAGTCTGCACTGGTCACATGGGTAGAACCTTTTCCGGCCAGTAAGCTAAGGGTTAATATAATTTCTACCTCTTGTTTAAACATCTAATTTAAATAACAAAATTTCAATAAAAATAAAATACATTGCATTGGCTATTTTAAGCTAAGCCTTTTTTTTCTTGAAAATTTTTACTGCATATAAATTTAGGAAAGAATAATTTATAAACTAAGAAAAAAAATGCCAATGGTAGAATTGAGAGGGTCCCTTCTTCCATGCTTTAAAATCTAAGACATAGATAGATCTTTGAATTTACCAAAGGGGCTTCAGCCTCCAAAAGTGCAGCAAGCCATTGTGCTAAGTGTTTTACAGAAAGGTCCTAATAGTTTGGTTATATCAAACTTTAAATTAATAGGTTGTCATATTGACTCATGATTATTCTTATGGCAAATAAATTTTACATTTTTTTTTTCAAACATTTTTCCATATAACTTAACATTGCCAGTATGATAGGTGAGTGTAACTTGCATCAAAATGAGAACATAAATAGGAAGGGGATGTGTTTTGTGTAAAGAGGAATGTACAATGATTGGAGAGATAGATAATGTATTGGATTTACCTTTAAAATCAATCTCATAATAAAAGGTAGAAAAAACAATAAGGAAAAATGCCTTAGTTAAACTTGTGAAATAGCAGTTTCAAGAATTATTTTTTTAAGTATAACACTATAGGCTTTGCAAACCAGTCAAAAATATCACACACCTGATTGGCTAATTCAAACTTTGACCAATGAATGACTTGCATATCATAGGCTGGTTTGAAAAGTCAAAATCACCAAAATTATAAAACAAAGTGAGATAAGAAATAATTCCATCCTTACATGAAAAATGTGAACAGCAAAAAAGGAAAAGTTTGTTAACTATACAAGGGGATATCAGTGAGGTAGATACAAATAGAACACAGACAAATGACAAGATTATAGTGTACATTTCATTCAATTTAAACCTGTCCAACACTAACAGTTATAATGCCTTTCCATTTCTGCCAGCCTGAAAATCCATGCTGAACAGTCAGGCTCTATATACTGATGGCAGCTAAATTTCAGAACTTTGTTCATTCTCTCATGCAATGTCCAAAATTCAAGGCATTCAGATCAAATATACAAAGTAAGTTCAGGGTTAGTTCAGGACCAAAAGTGAGTGCTTTTAACAAAAACTACTTTACATATAATGGTGCAAACTACAGGGATGATTGCAGCAAAGTTTCAGTGAAAAATCAGAGATAGGATTTCAGAGATGAGGTCTATGATGTTAATGTTAGGCTGAAGCTTATTCAAAGTTGAAGTTATATTAGATAGTAATTACAGATTTAACAGTGTACAGATTTAGCTGCTCAAGATTATCTTTAAAAACACATATGCCATGTATTAAACAATGCACAAGGAATTTTATACAGTTATTAAAAATGGCATGATTTAGAATTTATTTTGGCTATAATCAGCAAATCTGCAAAACAAGCAAAAATGGAACATGAATTTACACTTAATTAACAATTGGAGACAATAATTGATATGCATTACTTTCTCAATTACATTTTGTACACTTTGAAAAATAAATTCTGAAACAAAGTGGATATGTTATTTGAAAAGATTCAATAAATACAGTATTTAAATGTAATATTTTAGGTTTACACCATACAAATTCAATTTGATTAAGGTAGCTCAACAGAATTTAACAATTCATGTAAACAAAATGCAAATATGAGATATAAATTTTACATAAAGTTCCATAGGAAATGGGCTACATTTTTTTTTTCATTCTGTTACTTCAAGATACTAATATCTATTAACTATTGATTATCAAGATATTTTTCAGCACTTCCCCATTAAATTTTATAAATTCCATGTAACATTGTATTTTATTACAACAAAATTTTATTACCTCCTGTATAAGCCATTAAATATCTCGTTTAACTACATGTATGAATGATCCAGTTTAACTATGATAAAAAAAATTGCCATTCTTTCCTTCATAAGAAAACATACTTCCATCTATATTAATATAAATAACAAATATTATCCAAATTACACAAATATATGTGAATCTCTAAATATGCCATTTTGTCTTTTCTCATGATTATCAATATATATTTTAGTTGGGGTTTTACCTCTCACAGACACTGTCAAAGTTGCATGGCAACTGACCAGCTGTACTTGTGAAGGAAGACCACAGGAGCCCTTCCTTGCATTATTTCAGACATAATCTGGCACCTGGATAGAACCACCGACCATCTTAAAGCTAGCTGGATAACTTTATCACATGAAAATTGCAAATAACTCTGGCAGGATTCAAACCCACAGCTGTAACAGGCAGCTGGTGACATAATTCACATTTTACACCTGTTTATCCTGCAAACAAACACTTGATAGCATTTATATATTAGTTAATCACTTTTCTTAGCCAGCATTTTTATATATTGCTTATTGCAAATCCAGTTTTCTGTGAGTCTTCATTTTCTTGATTGAACTTTTAACAAACAAGAATTGCTTGATGACCTCATTTTAAGAACAGCTAACTTCGAACTGGTTAGGAAAATCCTTAGATGCCCTTATGAACTTCATTAAAACCCTATAAATGTGACCTTGTTATCAGAGATGTTTTGAAATGGAAGTCGTATTTTAATGTTAAAATGAAATTATAAATATAATTTTTTTGCCAAATACTAATTGATTATCACAAAAGCAATACTTCATTTTCAACTTAACATAATTTTACAACAAAAAAATCAAATAAAAACAAAACAAAAATGAGACAATAAATTAAATGGCCAATGAAATTCTTGCAATATCAGATCTCGTTAGATATAAATCAAAACATGGGTGACATGATCAATGAAATTTTAGTGTGACATGATGAAATTAATTTATGTGACATGATGATAATAGTTTATGTGACTCAATGAAATAAAACTATGGCATGATGCAATAAAACTATGTGACACATGAATCTATGTGACATGATCACATGGATCTTTGTGACATGATAATATGAATCTATGGGACATGAATCTATGTGACATGATAATATGAATCTATGTGACATGAATCTATGTGACATGATCATATGAATCTATGTGACATGAATCTATGTGACAAAAATGACATGAATCTATGTGACATGAATCTATGTGACAAAAATGACATGAATCTATGTGACTTGAATGTATATTACATAATGGAAGAAAACTATTGACATGATACAATAAAACTATGTGATATATAGTATCATGATTGCCAAGTAACAAGATTAATTTAAAAGAGTAAAAGCATTAAACTGGAATGAAGAAATAATTGATGACAGAAAAAAATTAACAATCTAAACTATAGGGCAAGTTAGTTTGGAATGGAAATGAGGAATATAGTGAAAAATGAGCAGAAATAAAATATCGGCAGTTTTTCAACAGTCACTTGAACACTGTTTTAACAGTACACTTTTGCAATGTGACACAACTATATACTATTTAGCTGTTTACATTGACCATTTTGATATTGAAATCCCTCAAAGTAATAATAAGAAGTTCCCAATTCAAAATTGGGCAAGCTCATCACGAAAATTTAGGGTAGGGTAGGGTAAATATATATCTTTTATGGCACCTTAATATTATTAGGTTAACATTAAATTTAAGACTTTCATCATATACCCTTTATCACGGACTCTTGACAGATATTGCTTATAAAAATGTATCATTTAATAATTGGAATATTTAAATACACAGAGCAACATTGTGAAATAGAGTAAAGATCCAGTGAAATATTTCAGAAAATTATGTTTGTTTTCAGTAGATCAAATTAATTTTCAAGGGTAAACGTTAGATTTTTTTTTTAAATCCTTTTATCATTTATTAAGCCATTTTGTTTACAGTTTTGTTTTGTTCTTTTTTATAAAGAAAAAATGTGTCTTTTGGGAATCTGAAAATCCTGAATTAAAAAAAAAAATCTTAAAAACTTTCTCCCCATGTATTTTTTATTTTGATACCACTAATAAAATTTTGTTCTTTTTTTATGTTTAAACAATACATTTGTGATTTAAGAACATAAGCAGTACCCTTAGAATATCAAAGATATTCATTTTAAATTATATATATATTGACTTTATTAGAGATTTCCTGATTCTAATAATTAAAAGGACCTGTTTAAGAATATTTATGCAAAGCAACACTAAAACTTCAAGAACAACAACAATTATAGAAATACTTCAATAGCCAACACAACAAAAAGTGACAAAATTGGTTTTGCTCACTTGTTTTATGTTTATAACCAAAAAAAAATTAGAAAAAAAAGAATCATTTAATTCTTTTTCATAGAACAAGGATTTGATTTACAGTACAAAATGTAAGTTTAAAACTTTAGACATAATAAAAATGAAGACGAAGAAAAAAACTGTAAATAGCATTATAAATTACAAGACAAAAATATTAATAACTGATATGGTTCAATATTGAAGATTTTCTTCCATATTTATCTCAGATATTTACAAAATAAATCTTTGGAATTCCTGTATCAAAAATACTCATTATCATAATATCATTTACTATATATATAAAACTCTGAATAATTTATGTTGTTATACACAGAATAAAAACAAGACACAAAGTCAGGCCATACAAAAAAGATATACTTGTTTGCCGTACTCCATTCTCAATTTAGTACAAAATGAGATATATCAGTATCATGGAAAAATGTCTCTCTTTTTTTTGTTGTTGGTTTTTTTATTCATGTTTTTTGTTTATTTTTTTACTTTTTAAATGAAAATTTAACATCTTCATTCTGCAAAAGCAAAGAAAGAGGGAAAAAAATGTTTTGGTGCTCATATATAATTCGTTGATTAAAGGCTATGTATGAAGACAACAAACAAATGTATTTTTTTATTCTGGCCTTAATATCAAATTTATAACAAGACCCCCTTAAAATATACCAGAGGGTCCAAGATTTTAAATAAAAGGATACATTTTTGTAACATATTTAACACATTTGACTAACACTTAAAATTTAATATCTCCGTCATCCTTTCAAGTTTATAAAATCTTAGACCCTCCAATAAATAGGGGTTGGTTTCTTTTAATAACAAAACAACAATTTTAAAGAAGAAAAAAAAATTTCTCCCCTGTCAATTATGAGACAAAAAAACTTGATACACTATTTTATGGCATTTTTTTTTTACTTTTTACAAAACAATAAAAAACATTAACAATTGCACCATTTTATCTCATAAAGTCCCTGTGCTATAAAGTAACAAATTTTCAGTATACTGGTCAGTATCTCATGTAAGTACACTTCTATTTTATTAATCTGTTATATTTTTGAAGAATACAGTCATAATCACATCATCACTGTTATAAATATGTCATAATATCAAGCTATCATAGCAAAGCTTACCAAGCTTCTAAATTACAAACTTCATTTAACATTACAAAAAACAAACCTAGTTTAAGGACCCATGTACAATGCACGATATTCTCTCACTGTTGAAATATCAAGTTCCATCAGAAAAGCTGACTGGTTTAAACACAGATGTTTCACTGACTACATGGGTTTTTTGTCTAGGCATTCTATGGTCTGGTTTCCTTTATCTATGATAATTTGTCGATCAATATACTGGCTGGTTCCTAAGTTTCCATCATTCCATTGTGACAGACTTGTTGGTTTTCTACATATATGTCAATTCATTATCAGTTGACTGGTTCCCCTAAACTGAAGTTTCCATCATTCCATTGTGACAGCTACATATACGACAATTTATTATCAGTTGACTGGTTCCCCTAAACTGAAGTTTCCATCATTCCATTGTTACAGACTGGTTCCTCTATAATGGCAGTTTTGTGAAGAGTCTCTCTTCTCATGCTCCATGGGTCGACTATATCGTCGCCGGGACCACATGGATCATCAAACGATACTTCAAAAGACACTTTGGCATCTGGAGTACTATGTAAATGATTATTGTTCAACAAATTTCGTTCTGTTTTGGCACTTTCCGGGGCATATGATAAACTTGGATAAACTGAATCAGTTTTAGAATAGGTTAATTCGTTGTCACCTGTCTCATCAATGGACTCTTGTCGAGAATTGATATAACTACTTGACAAGGATGAGTTCGTACCATTGCGATGGTTTAATGAATTTTCTAAATTAGAATGCCGCCTGACTCTATTTATAGGGTAAGTATTCATATAGTTATACGTATTGTCACTTTCAACTGAACCTTCTCTTGATCGATTATTGTACGGACTTCCGGTATCAAACATTTCAAACTGAAGTCTTTGCGCGACAGCTTCTGGAAAGAACACACTTTTTGATCGTGTACTATAAGCTGAAAAAGAGTATCTGTTTTGATTCATTGATTTTTTACTATTTGAGCCATGAATAGATTCTTGGTGCAGTCTTTCTGCTGCCTTCCGCAACAAAACTGGTGACGACGGTAGTGACTGACTTTTCGGTCGCAACTGAAATGAATTTTTCTTAGAAGCAGAAGCTGCAGACATCAAATTTGGCGTGCACGGTGGCGTTGTGGGAGATGATGGCGATGGCAACTCAAACATCATAGAGTCAACATCACCAAATGATTTACCGAGAATCTTACGTCCTTCGCGAAATCCTGCCATGCCAGCAAAAGGATTTGATATGGAAGGTTCATAAAAAGGATCGTCACGACTCATGGCTTCACCAATGAGTATAGGTGTCACTGTGGTATCATTACAAACATTATCATCATATTCATCACCGTCAAAATCATCATCATTGGCCTGAAGAATGTTATCTTCTGACCTTGACCTTTTGTAATGTGTTATATCTGAAATATATTAAACAATATATATTGTATCAGAAGCATTGTTAGATGATTTAACCAAAATTTTAGATTCTTTATCAGGTGTCATATCTATATAAAATTTTACTTCTAAAACATTTTTCATTTTAAAAAATAACACATTGTGACAATAAAAATATGATATGTATAGATAAAACTGTTATTTTTTAACAATAATCTTCATACATGAATTTTAGATTTATAATATTTAATTTTAAAATTGTTTACCTATAGAATTTCTTCTTTCCATACTCATATGACTAACATTGTCATTTTTGAGATTCTCGTAAATTTGCTGTGTAGACACTTCAGTTTCTGTAAACCTCGGTCTTTTGCTCGGATCAACCTATAACCAAGAAAAATACTAGTTTAATGAAATTATATCTGAATCATTTTGATTAAAAATAATATGAGCCGCGTCACGACAAAACCAACATAGTGCGTTTGCGACCAGCATGGATCCAGACCAGCCTGTGCAGTCTGATCAGGATCCATGCTGTTCGCTATCAGTATCTCTACTTGTAATAGGGTTGGTAAGCGAACAGCATGGATTCTGATCAGACTGCGCGGATGCGCAGGCTGGTCTGGATCCATGCTGGTCGCAAACCCATTATGTTGGTTTTGTCGTGGCGCGGCTCATATATAATACAGTGTGGTCAGACTGGGCAGATGTATAGGTCTGTCAAAATCATTACAAATACTATAAGTGATAATGATATAAAAACACAACAATGACAACTTGTTATAAACATTGTTAAGTTTTCAATATTAGGCATGTTTTCATTTCAAATGAAAGGCTTATATGAAGTTCAGCACGACATTATGAACATAAAACAAGGCCATTATGCAAAAAGTATGGTCTTTATGAGAGGTCTTCATGAGAAAACTCAGCTATTATGAGATTTGAGAAAAAATTTTTCATTGAAAAAAAGTCACCATTTTGAATTGTTGCAAGGTAGGTTTCCGAGACATTTGAAATAATGAATCTCATTTGCAATACCTCACAACCAAGCAATTTCACATTGGCCTCTGGCTAATATGACAGTCTTCAGCCCAATAACATGGCCATTATGAAAAAACTTAATTATTAACATTTTATTAATGTATAATTTTCATCTGTCAAGTAGAAACTTTTGCAACTTTTAAGATACACTGGTGAAGAAATTACTTTTATAGCACTCAGTGGCCAGTGCATTACTTTAAGCAAGTGTATGAACATCCAGATTAAATCTTCTGGATAAGAATAGGAAAGAGTTTGTTCTAAATGTCAGATACTTCACTAGCAGTTAACAAGAGGGCCATGATGGCCCTGAGGTCGCTCACCTGTATATAGGCCCCCCCAACCCCCACCCCAATGTTGCAGGGCCAATTTAACCCAAGGGCTTTTATTTGCACAAACTTGGTAGACACCCATAAGAAGATGTTTCATGCTAAACATCTAAGCTCTAGCTCATTGGGCTTTTTAAAAGAAGATTTTTTTAAAGTTTTTACTGTACACATATAGTTAAAAACAATGACACCCCTGGGGCCGGGCCAGTTTTGACCCCAGGGCTTTTATTTGAAAAAACTTTGTAGACACTTACTAGAAGATGTTTCATGCTTAATATCTAAACTCTAGCTATTTGGGTTTTTTCAAAGAAGATTTTAAGTTTTTGCTATACACATATAAGGAAAATCAATGACCCCCGGGGCGGGGTCAATTTTGACCCCAGGTCTTTTATTTGAACAAACTTTGTAGACACTCACTAAAAGATGTTTCATGCTTAATATCTTAACTCTAGCTATTTGGGTTTTTTCAAAGAAGATTTTTTAAGTTTTTACTTTATGCATATAGGGAAAATCAATGACCCCCCGAGGCGGGGCCAATTTTGACCCCAGGGCTTTTATTTGAACAAACTTGGTAGACACTTATTAGAACATGTTTCATGCTAAATATCTTAGCTCTAACTCTTTGGGTTCTTTAAAAGAAGATTTTTTTAAGTTTTTACTATATGCATGTAGGGAAAATCAATGACCCCCTGGGGCGGGGCCAATTTTGACCCCAGGGCTTTTATTTGAACAAACTTGGTAGACACTTATTAGAACATGTTTGATGCTCAATATCTTAGCCATAGCTCTTTGAGTTCTTTAAAAGAAGATTTTTTAAGTTTTTACTATATGCATATAGGGAAAATCAATGACCCCCCGGGGCGGGGCCAATTTTGACCCCAGGGCTTTTATTTGAACAAACTTGGTAGACACTCACTAGAAGATGTTTCATGCCATATATCTAAGCTCTAGCTCTTATGGTTTTTTAAAAGAAGATATTTAAAGTTTTTTCTTTCGGTTGCCATTGCAACCAGAGTTCTGCATGGAATTAAATTCTTTGAACAATTTTTAAAGGTGACCACCAAAGGAACATTCCTGTGAAGTTTGGATGAAATTGGCTTAGTGGTTTATGAGGAGATGTCATTTAAAGTAAAAGTTTACGGACGGACGCCGGACGAAAAGCGATCACAAAAGCTCACCCTGTCACTTTGTGACAGGTGAGCTAAAAATAAGCTTTGCACACAAAACAGAATGTATTCTCATAATTACCTGACAGCATCTAAAGGCCAAGCGCAGAAAGTCTAGAGGACAGTAGTCAATAAGTTCACTAAACGCTTTATAATCTATACCAAAATTCTGCAATATAAAATTATACATTTTATTAATGCATTTCAGTAATTTACAAATTCTTTCACAAGTTTATCTATCACATTACTATGCTTTTACTTATAAAGTAAGTCATGTTAATTCAGAAGAGGTCCTTTCACGTTAATTATATTTGGTAAAAATGACAGTTCAAATCTATATATCTTGTCTGAAAAAGGCAATTTTTTAACCCTTTTATATAAATATAATTCAAATAGAACATTTCAATGTAATGCAAGGGAGGTAATACAAAATAAACAAGACAGGTGAGAATGTTATAATTGTCTCCCTTACATTAGTTCTGGGTAATATGTCCGGATCTGATGACACTCTGGCTGTAATTTCACAGCAAATCACACCAAACGAAAAAACATCAGCCTGAAAAACAAAGATAAAGCAATTAACCCTTAACCTGCTCGACCTGATAGTGATTAGACTTTGCCACCAGTAAATAGCTATCAGAGTTTTACCAGATTTTAAAAATTTAATTTAATCAATTTTACCCAAAATTTAATTATCACTATATTGCCCAAAAATTTAAATCCTTATCGTTTTATAATTCTAACAAAGTTTATTAAGCGCTGTTTCAAGTATTCTTTATTTCATTCAAAAAATTGAGTGAAAAAAACACCACCTGGGCCTCATATATTCTGCGTAAGGTGTAATTTTAGCACTGAACGGTATCTAAAAAAGGATCTTTAATTTTCTATTCATTTGTTTGTTCATATGACCAATAAAAACCACCTTTTCTATAACTTTATCAGTAATTTGTCTCAATAATAACCTTTCAATATTCACTCTGATATAATTCACTAATCTAACTTTGACTTGAGAATTGGCAACGTTTACAAAATTTATCGCAACATATATAAGTATCATATTTAGATCGCTAATATAGTTTTAACAGTTATTGCTGATAGAAATTGATACCCAAGGTGGTTTCTTAACAGATAAGGTTTAACCTAGTAGTTCATACAAATTATTTTCGGTGAGTGCATTTTTTACGCAAAATGAACTTACAAATTTTTAAATCTATTAAAATATTATGTAACTCACTGTCTTGTAAACGTCGAATGCTCTACATTTTGTCAATAATTGAGACCAATTCATGTGTCGAAGTTCCGATGTGTCAAAGTTTTTAAACAAGTTCCTTCAACTACAACTTACCGAAGTTCTACTCTATATCAAAATGATCAAATTTAATCTTACCAATTCATTGTAGTTTTGTCCTGTAATAACCTCGGGGGCCATCCAGAAAGGGGAACCAACTGGAGACAACTGCTTCCCAATTCTATAATATAAAATACACATTTTCTTACAATCAATTATTTTTTATTATCTTTTTTTACAAGATTTCATAAACAGACTAGCTTCCACTGAAATTTTGAATTTGATCCAAGTAAACCATATAAAAGGGCCATAAATCTGCAGAAAATGATCAAAAACAGCACAAGTATGAATTGTAAAAGGTTTGCAAGAACTGAATGCAGCAAATATACAGTTGGGTTTGATAGTATAGTATATATAGCAGGGGCTTATAAGATACTTTCAACTTCTCAGGGTCAATGTAGATTTATATTTTATAATTTCAAAAAAGCTTGGGATATAGCCTAACTAATATTGCAGGGGGAAAAATAGAGAATTAACCTCCTGTATAATTTTGAATCACATTGTACATACACTTATAATCATATAATCATTTATATGTAAAAGCTGAGCAAATTAATACCAAAATAAGGGCATTTTGTATCCAACTGAATACATTAAGGGCCTCCAGCCACAAGTCAAAACAAATCCTAACTTCAACACTTGAAGACTTTGCCTTACACAGGACCATTAATATCTTCATATAAATCTCCATATGAGAATGACTTGTTCTATTTTCAAACATAACCTTTACAATTTATTTAAAAAATATTAAGCCATTTTAATATAAATTGCTCATTTTAATATTTCTTTTCGGTGTGTTCTATTTACTTTGCTATTTACTAGTTAATAAACAGTGAACAACAGTAATACTAATTGTCCCGACCTGTCAAGTTCAGGATAGGAAAGAAAACTAATTTGCATAAAGGTCAACCCACAAGTACTACCTATCTAATAGGAAAGCCATAGATCAACCTTTATGGAGCCATTTAAGTGTGCTTTGGGAGATATCATTTTGTTTGAAGTTCTGGCAGTGACTTTAAAATTGCTACCTGTTATAATACAGGTGATCCATTTAGTGTTTGTGAGACTGACAGACAATTTAATTATCATACCATACCTATACCCATACATCTTTAAAGATAATGGAAACATTGTACAGGTATTTTTCCCCCCTGTTGTATAGGTATAAAGCGATAATTAGGTAATTAGCAATACACACTGGAAAACTCCATGGAAAGTTATAAAATAAAAAAAAAACACTTGTTTTTTTAACTAACTTAAGAATGAAGTTCAGAGAGTTTAATTTTGGGTTTCAGGCACTATGTCTTTAAATGTTTCTGTTAATGCCATTAATTGACGTCACAACTGAAAACTCCAAAAAACAAAAAAGCAAAATTATTTCTTCCAACTATCTGTTCCAATGCATAGTTGACTGTTTTTGTTTGTATATATAAATCATTATCTTCATGTCATATAAGATAAATTAATATGTCCCAAATGCATAATAATGTCAATTTTCTACTCTCTATGGGCCTTGCTGCCATTCCCCTAAAAGTGGTAAAAACCACTGAAGTATCATACAGTATACTATGTGTACAAGCAAATTTCATACTAAGAAAAGCAATACTTGTATTTTATTACCTAATAAGTGAAGAATCTTATACTTTAAGCTGCCTTATTAGTATCTTATTAGTATACCAACTGTGCAAAAAATCTACATGAAATGTTGGTGTTTTTATTGGTCAGATTTACCCTTACCACACTAAATATCATAAATGGACTTGTCCATCTTTCAATCTGGACAATACCATTCATCACTTTTAAAGCAAAGTTTCAAAATAAGTACTGACTGTTAGAAAAGCAGACCATACTCAGATGACATGTATAGGTAGATTCAGTTGCTGCATTAAGTGTTAATCATTTATATAAACAGTAGCAAAATCAAAGTGCTGCAGCACTGAATGCGACGGACATGCAACCGGAGAGACATATTAAGGCTTCTTTTAGAAAAAAAAAACAAAAAAAAACAACACAAAATATATAACAGAGAAAATTTGTTCCATACAAGTTCGAGATTTGTAGAGCAATATATTTTGTGTCCCAAATTGATATAATTCAGATTTTCTACTTTCAAGCACTTAAATACAGAATGAAATTTATGCCTAAAAACTCTGGTCAAACTTGTAAATCAGTGTCCTTATCGATTTATACTAAGAAATGATATGTAAATAGAAAAAAACGAAATATTTTTAGAATAAATCCAGGCAAATAAACTTCAAACATAATACATTATACATTTGAGAATGCTATTTAGAATTGCTTCGTGTTATATCATAGTGGGCATACAGACAATAAAATATAAGTCATTTGTATTTTTATTTCTCTTGGATATGTCTCATTAAAAAAAAATGGTTAAAATCATCAGCAATTAATAGTGTATTTCTTAGATTTTTTTATGCCACCGCAGCATCTGCGATGCGGTGGCATATAGCGATTCACCTGTGTGTGTGTGTGTTTGTGTGTGTGTTATATAGATTATATAGTGAACTTAAAAAATCTTCTTGTGAAAAACCACTAGTCCAATTTCAACCAAACTTGGCAGGATTGTTCATTGGGTGAAGGGCTTCCAAAGTTGTTCAAAGAATTTCATTCCATATAGAAATCTGGTTGCCATGGCAACCAAAAGGAATTATAAGAATAAATTAAAAAAATCTTCTTGTAAAGACCCAAAAGGCCTAGAGCTTAGATATTTTGCATAAGGCATTGTCTAGTAGACCTCTAACAAGATTGTTCAAATTATAGCCCTGGGGTCAAAATTGGCGCCGCCCCGGGGGTCATTGATTTTCACTATGTACATATAGTAAAAACTTAAAATACCTTCTTGTAAAAACCCAAAAGGCCTAGAGCTTAGATATTTTGCATAAGGCATCATCTGGTAGACCCTTACCAAGATTGTTCAAATTATAGCCCTTGGGTCAAAATCGGCCCCGCCCTGGGGTCATTGATTTTCGCTATATGTACATATAGTAAAAACTTAAAACACCTTCTTGTAAAGACCCAAAAGGTCTAGAGCTTAGATATTTTGCATAAGGCATTGTCTGGTAGACCTCTACCCAGATTGTGTAATTATAGCCCTGGGGTCAAAATCAGCCATGCCCCAGGGGTCATTGGTTTTCCTTATATGTATATAGTAAAAACTTAAAAAAAATTCTTCTAGCAATTGACAAATGCTACAGGTTAGATATTTTGCATGAAACATTGTGTTGTAAACCTCTAGCAAGATTGTTCAAACTATAGTCCTGGGTCAAAATTGCCCCCGCCCTGGGGGTCATTGATTACAATATATACATATAGTAAAAATAAAAAAAATCTTATTGTCTGAAGGTACAAGGCTTAGAGCTTTAATATTTGTTAAATAATATCATCTAAAGGTACTCTACCAAAGTTGTTCAAATGTTGCCTCTTGTCTTCTCTAAATTTACTAAGGATAGAGTTAAGATATTTTGCATGAAACATTGTGTAGTGGACCTCTAGCAAGATTGTTCAAATTATAGCCCTGGGGTCAAAATTGGTTCCGCCCCGGGGGTCATTGATTTTCATTATGTACATATAGTGGAAAAAAAAAATTTGTCTGAAGGTTCAAGGCATAGAGCTTTGATGTTTGATATATAATATCATCTATAGGTCCTCTACCAAAGTTGTTCAAATGTCAAAAATTGGCCCTGCCCGGGGGCAGTGATTCTCATTATGTTCACGTAGTAAAAACAGAAAATAAAACAAATGTTTTCTGAATGGGAGAAAGCTATAGCTTAGATACAATGTATTTGACTTGAAATGTTGTTTGGTGGACCTGTATCAAGATTGTTATTAAACCCTTGGGTCAAAATTATGCCTTGCCCAAGAGGACAGTGACCTACTTTCTTGTCCTTTGATGTACAGCAATGACATTTTGACCATGTGCACAGTTTTAGTTGTAAAATTGAACTTTGACCTAGATTTTGATGATGTGACCTACTTTCTTGTCCTTTGATGTACAGCTATGAAATTTGAAACATGCGGTGGCATAGCATTTTTCTCAAATGCAATCTTGTTTATTTACAAGGTAAAGATGTAGAGGCCAGAGCACATCGTTTTTATTTTAATTAAAATGTCACTTGAGCACTACAGTGTTTAGTTGTCCTTTTCAACTTCACACTAAATTCCATTTTCAACTTGTTTGCTTCTTACAATTGTATAGCATTTCTAAAAGTATTGCATTACAATCCGCTGGTTTATTAATTACATGTTTAATGTGTACTTCCTAATCGCCTGTCCAAAAATCAGAACAGGTGATGCAGAATCTATTTTTAGAATAGCGAAGGTTAACTCATATCGTGACCTAGTTAAATATGTAAACAAACCACAAGAATCGGAAGTAGAACTGATATTATAACTTCCTTACCATGAAAGACTACATGGCGGTAAAGTGTCTTACATGCATTTTCAAAAAAGATATTTATACTAGCCATTGTACTGTATCTAATATATTAATAACTGCTGAATATTCAGCTAAACCCGCGGTATGAGTCACGAAAATAGTTCTTCTTTTATTAATGCGCGAGGTATCCTAGAGTCACGAAAAAACTTTGATTTGTTAATAATAATGTTTTGTATAATGTAGAAATATTTATTTCCTACTAATAATGTCTTGGAACTCAGAGGTTACACCTTTATTGTAGTATATTAATTTTGCTGTCCTACTTTTTCGACAGCGGTAAATCGTTTCAGCAGTAATTTGCATATTGCGCAATAATACTACGGGGACTACAACGTTTTTATCAATAATATACGTTCATATTTTAACTTGGATAACTTAATTTGAAATTGAAAAGGCTAAATATGGTAGACATTAAGATATCCAGACAAAGTATGGGAGTTTTGAAGGATCATGTACTATTTCTTGGGCTGTTAATTGGTTTAGGACACATTGCGCGAGTGTAGCCAACGAAATCCCATGTGAAGATGACTTAGCTCTGAACGCGCCTGAGGGCGCGTCCGTCGCAAAAATCTATGTTTATCTATTCAAAACTGTTGGGTTTTTTTTCCGTGTGTGTTTTGCTCCCTCCCCATCCCCTGGAAATCGGACATACTTTAAAGTGGTCATGCCATGGTAGTATTGCTTACATATGACCTGTTGCAGCTTCAAGATATCCAGTCCATGACCATAATCTATTACATTACAATCTATTATATTGACATGTAATTTTTTTATCATAGTTCACTATTAAATTATTATAATCATAATATTACAAGTCAAGCACTCAAAGTTCAGTAAGACAAACATTTACGAAGAACTTATATTCATTAATTTGAGAACATATTTCTTTATCTACATGAACTCAAAAAAACATTGATACAGCATCTTTAAAACAAACTGGCACAAAAAAAACCCAAAAAACAACAAGTCTATTAGGAGAGAAATAGGAACATCAACATAACTGTCATTCACTTGGTTAAATGATTATATTCCACCCATCAGCTGATCGCGTGGAAGAAAATAAACAATAATCTGGGAAACTGGCTGGCACAGTGTCAAAATAATTTGTATCATATACTTTCTATGATAATTTGTAATCCAAGGACATGGGGTAATATCGCTTGCTTAGACTGGAATAAACTCATTTGTTTCTTGTTAGTAAAAGATGGAAGTCTGTGACAGAAAGCTATAGTTATTAATTGTATATAAATGATCTTAATGACCAGCACTTGTGTCAACAACATTAACCATAGTTTTGACCAAAGATCTAGGGGCAACCAAACACCTTAAAACCTATTAGAATTGACAATAAATCCAAATTTTTTATCTATTCATTCAGAACCCTTTAGTTCCTAGACCACGCCCCTAGGGTTCTCCCTAGCAAACCAAGAATGAATTGAATATGATAATCTCTAAAAAAAGACCAGCACTTGTTGTCAATTTGTTAATACTTGTAGGTTAGGAAAGAAAATACTTGGAAGCGCAACATTTTCTATTTGTTCTGAGGTAAGTTTTTCTAATGTTAAGCAATCTGTTTATTGTTTATTTCACAGAGATGTGTCTTGAATAAAGGGTGGTATTTATGTTTCCACATGAAAGCAGTGATGTAAAAAGTTCAATGAGCTAACAAATTGCTTCTGTTTACCAGCTGAACACTTGCTTTAAACAAAGATACCAGTATATGAAGGCAAAACGCCCAACAAGTACTACAAACAGTGATGTCATCAATCTACCTGTTCGTATTACACTGTAGTTAAATGCGGTTCACTTGAGGTCAGATCGCTCACCCAGGGACTCAGGACTCACCGTTCAGTCCCAGAAAAATTTCTAAGAGAAAACCAAACAGCTTTAACCAACCAAATACCTATCTAAGCAGTCAAACACTTGTTCAAACATATGACCTTCTTGTCTAAACATATGACTTGTCTAAACATATTACCTCTATGGTATCTTATTTTATCTTGCAAATATATACTTATAAAGGGACTTTAAAATCTACAAATTTGTTTTCTGTACTTACAAAGGGTCTGGAATTTTTGCTGACAGACCAAAATCTGCAACAATAGCTGTGAATGAGCCATCTTTCTCTTCTCGTATCAACACATTCTGAAATAGAAAATTAAAGGAGGTGTTAATTTCTCCCATATCTTTTTACATTTTCTCCATTAATAACTGTCAAATAACTTATATGCAGTATATCTGCAATATGCTTAATATATATATCCTTAGGTTCTGCATCCATCACATGTGAGGAATATAGGCTACACACAATATTTTTCAGGGATTTAGGCAACCTAGATGTCATCCATTTAAAGAATTCAAACAGCAAATCTTAACTAAATTCTGAACCTAAAACTTTCTCAATATTGCACAAAGAAGATTGAACCACCATTCCAACACATCTTTAAATCAAAATAATTTCTATTTTAGTAATACATACCAACCAAACTGTTCAAATGGTGACATGTATAATATATATGTGCTAAGTCTGGGACTTATTACCTTATTGACTTTAGACAGCACGCTCAATTATTCAAAGTGTTAATTTGACAGTAAGAAAAGGAGCATAAAAAAGTAAGTCAAAGTCACAGGACCTGTGCTCATTATCTTAAATAATCAGAGAAGCAGTGTGTGAAGTTTCAACCCATTCCCTTCAGTTGTTTTGGAGATAACACCGACACTGACTTATATGGGCGAGTACAATATAGGTCTCCCTATTCTTAGAAATGTACAGCTTAAAATTGGTGATGGTCATAAGTTTGATCCATATCCTCAAAAAGAAGACCCAAAGTAATTAAGATCACCCCATTTGCAGAAATATATGTATTACAGAATTTCAAAAACAAGTTGTTATTTTAATGAGGTAAAATAAAATGCCAATTCTTCTGTGCTATAAATAGCACTTTGTTATAATAAAAGTATTATGTGTTTCCTAAATTGACTTTTCTAATACAGAAAACAGATCCAAGTATCAAATAAAACATAAGACAAAAATAAACTGCTTATTTTATCAGTTTTTGCTACTATTCTCCAAAACTTATGGTATTAATCAATATGAACAAAAGTTACATTACTCTTCATTATAAAAAAATATCATTTATGATTTTCCTGCAGGAAAAAAAAACAAAACAACAATAGATGAATGTTGTAAAACAGTTCTGGCAGAATAATCAGTGAAATTAAACTGGGTAGGAAATGGAAAAGAGGCAATAAATCCAGATGGTGTTACATAAGAACAACTGTCTGTGAATATCACTTTATGAGGTTGAGAAAATATGTCTTCATCTCTTTGTTTCTCTATTTTTTGACAAAAGGAATATACACGCATGCATAAATATGAGCCTCTTATAAGAAGAAAATAATTCCATAAGTACTGAAAAATAATAATAGCCTTTTAAATTAATTCCCTCATAAATGGTAAGTACTTTGTACCCATATGCTCTGCTTAGTATGTTATTGCAAACTAGTGTTCCTATGAGATTTTTAAGTATAAACAGCAAACAATACTTTTAATATTATATTCATAATTACAGGATAGAAATAAACAACAGATATGCCCTTGGGTTCATAATGCTTGTCAGTAAGTGTTTTAGCAATATATACAGAGTGTATACCAGACAAAGCAATATTTCTAACCTAATTCTCAGCTTATTTGTAAACAAGCAGGCAGTTTTAATTTTACTTATTTCTTCGGTTTAAAGTAGCACAAACACTTCAAGGTCATAAGACAACTTTGAAGATTAACCGGTTCCACCATGCATGTTTTCTAGTTGAAACTGGTTTCAAAGTATACAGTACCATTAACCTTTCATTAACCAAGATGGCATATACACATCCAAATCATAAAAGTTGAAATCCAACCATTGAAAGCATACTGCTTGAAAACTAACAATTCTCGAAGATTTTCCATACCCATACGATGCTAATTAATATCTTAAATTTGCAATCAGGACAATACCACTTGTCATTTTAACTGGAATTTTCCTAATATTTTCTGACTAAACAGCCAACCTAGCAGACCTGATGATCAGCCAGCATGCCTGTGCCACTATAAACATCAAACTTCATATCAATCCCCTTCATCCCCTTGTAACCCTCTGTCCTAACTTAATCTTGTAATCTAACCAGTACCTGCTTTTTCCTTCACATCAAAGGTGAATCTAAATGATGAGTCTGACAGAATGTGAGAAAAAAAAGCAACATATAAACAACCTACCAGGATGTTACGATCTGATGAAAAGCATTCTTAAATTTACAAGATCTGCAAGTTGCAACTCACCCACCTTATGTAAACTTGCACTTACCAAGATATGTCTACTAATGAAAAGCCTACAAGTAATATTCTCTGTATAATTTGCAAGGAAATAAATCAGCTGTGGAAAAAAAAAAACTCTAAAATATCATGTTCTTGCATAATAGTAGGGAGTTCCGTTAGAATAACATTGTTGTTTTTCTCTCTGTCTTTTGTCAGAAATGTTCATAGTTATTAGCTGCAAAAAACATTTTCTGAATGTATACAGCTTAGTTACATAGAACCACAATAAAGTTGCACAATATGCATTACTATTACAGGGAAATGATTAGATTTAATTACAATTACATTTGGGTGATTACAACTGTAAGTAATCTGTTTATTGTTATGCAGAAAGTAAAGATACTTATTTTGACCTTGACTCTTTTTGTTACTGTGGAAAACCTCAAAAAAATCTTATACCAAATATAAGAACACATATTAACACCTGCAAAATAAGTGCTGCTTTTTCTTTGTTATCCAAAGAAAATGCATGAATGTTTTATTTTCACTGCAAGGGGGTCATCAAGGTGCAGATTTCATATTACATAATGAAAATAAATAAATCTGTCATAACTTTTGTCAGCATTTTATAATATCAAGATGAAGCTCAGGATACTTTTTCCTCATTATATTTCCCTCATTTAATTATTTACCTGCAAAGCTTGCCAAATATCAGAAGGTTACTGTATATCAAACTTGACTAGAGGACACTAGCAAGCATCATAATAGACTTTTCTCCCTGCTAAATATCTTCAATGGACTTGTCCATCCTACAATCTGGACAAAGCCATTAATACTTTTAAGGGAAAATTTCTCAAATACATTCTTACTCAATAGCAAACAGTGCAGATTATCATTAGACAACAAGGATGTGCCTGCTGTTCTTGGTCTGGTGGTGGGTTTTGTAGTTTACCCTCAAAATCACGGCAGTAAGCCATTTTTAATATTCACCAGAGCACAGTTCAGCCAGTTCTACCTATTGAGCTACTTGGACAATGATGATCTTGGTCTGCATTGGTTGTACGACCTTCAAAAGGCTATGGGTTAATACTCAAAAATAAACTTAGATTTGGTTTAGAATACTTAGTTGAAGTTACTTTTCAAGCAACGATGGAATTACGGCAAATGTTCCAACACTGGTATAATGATTGTCAGCTGACAAAATTTAAATAAGGGAGAGATGACCTGGAGATTAAGAAGCTAAGGGGATCATGGGTTTAAGCCTACTTGGTCACCTGCATGTGACTTCATTAGACGCAAGCACTGATAAGTTCAATATACTTCACAGTCGCCAGGTTCAAATAAGTCGTAATAAATGAGCTTAAGCAAACAGAATAAATTGCTATAACATTTTTTAAGTGCTCACCCCGACATGATATGGTGGATGGAGGAGAGTGTGTGTGGGAAGAAGAAATTTATGAGGGGCCAAGGTACATATTATAATCAATATGGTACTTATTTCAGTACTGATTTTCAGTAACAGGTTATCTATGAGTCGACTGAAAGAACTTTTCCAGCAGTTACATAACACTTATGACACTTATATCATAATTATGTGTTTAATATTAAGTCAGTAAACTATGTCTTGTATTTTTGCCGTCTCTCCAAGAACTGGTGCAAAAGCCATCAGAAATCAAAGGTTATCATAATGCAATATAGCATTTAGCACTACTCTTTATAGGGCATTATATAAGAATAAGTAATAGAATCGAACATGTGCTTCACCTGTATTTTCTCATTTGCTTGGTGTATACAAACTCAAAGTGTACCATAAGTTACTGTTCCAATAAGCAGTAAAATCAACAACATTTAAGTAGTTTGTACCAGTCTTGTTTTTTTTTATAAATAGTGAAAAATTTAAATACAACCCCTAGAATCAATTAATGACCCTATAACTATACTAAAATTGAAAGTTACTAAACAATATAGACAAAAAGTCTGGATTAGGAGGGAGCAGAAACAGCCTAGTTCTTAGAATGTCTGTCTCTCTACCCTTAAGAACGTTCATGGCCCTCAAATGACAGCAATAGATAAAATATGATTTTGATAGGTTATATTAATGTATACTGAAATTTTTCAAAACAACATAGCTGAAATAAACAGCTTAATAACAATGCTGTTTAAACCAAATCTGCATGTAAGTTATTGCCACTAGCATACAGCCAGGCCAGCCTGAACTTCACTGTAATCTACCCTGAGGCCCTATTCTGTCAGCTGTACTGTGACACTTCTTTTTTCTTTTTTCATTCTAATATCCATAAAATCGATAAAGGACTGTTTCAAAATTGAAGTCCATTTAGGCAAATAAGCGAAACTGTTTAATATGATTAACCTGGTTCCATTTCCACATAAACTTCAAGTCAGCACTTCTTCCTATTAACTATGCATTAAGCAATTCTATATATTCACTTAAATCTCTCCCTCATTTACAGGCATCATGGTAATTTATGTTGGCAGGAAAATTAATAATTTAAAGATTCAGACAAATTACCATACTTGACAGCAAAAATGAAATTGCTTGGAAATCTTCTTTAAGACAGCTTCTTATCTTGAGAAACTTTTCAACAAAATTTAGACAAAGCGGAGTAGGAATGAATAATTGTCAATGTCATCGAAAGAAATTTTTCATTGCAGTTCTCAATACATAAATTACTACAGCAAGGATGTCTGAAGAAGTCCAAATTATTTCAATATCTCCCATCTTGTTTATTAGCAAATTATTGGTCATTTCTCAATGGTAGGACCTCCATGGCAAAGTGGTAAAGGCCGTCAACTTCAAATCCCTTGAATGTCCATACCAGCCCAAAATTCAAACACACAAAATTGTGGGACAAGAATATTTCAAAATTATCCTCTTGATATGAAAGAATATCATTAAAAATGTTTTCGACATTATATACTGTATATCTCACCACAAAGAAATAGAGAATGAGGTCAATACTAGTAATATAGGTTTTGAAGAACAATCTTGAACTAATTCAATTTTTTGACAGTCATTAATACCACAAACTTCATTAAAGCAAATATAGAAAATCAGGGTAAATATTTGCACTCCATTATTTCATCTTTGTTCATTAATATATTTCTGGTCATCACATTCTATAATATATTATTAATCTGATATGATAAAATAACAATATAAACAAACCAAGTATTGATAACATGCGATAAAATGACTATGTCAACTATCTTAATCTGTTAATGAAAATATTTACTTAATTGGCAGATGTTATAATGATAGCAAGATATCCGTCATTCAACCAAAGAGAACTTAGAGAAAAATTCTAAAAATAGGAATTACAATTAAAATTTTCTTTAATCATAGTTAAAAATACCCTTTTTCTGATATTTTACTTGTCCATTGTCAACAGAATTTAGAGTGATATAATGGAATTATTAACTAACCCTTACCAATTGTTTTGAATTTGGAAGAGTCCATAACAATTTTATAATTAAGTGTTTCAGAATGAAAATAACATAGAAAGGCTATGACCAAAATTTTGAAACCCTGTATGTTTGATAAAATGTCTTCAAAATACTATACTGCCAACAACAGAATAGCTCAATATTTAGTATACCTTGGGTTCAATGGAATCGGGCTAACAAACTTTACAATATTTTACATAACACAGACCATGGACTACTTCAGAGCAATTATTTCTGTTTCTTTTCAATCAGAAAATGTGGCAATATCTTCCTTGTATTTATTCATTTGTTTTTATTATCAGTATTATTTTTACTATCATTGAAAAAGGTCTAGATATACTTCTTTGGAAAAATTCCTTGGTTTTAAAATTAGGAAAAAAACAACAGGTCACCTCCACAACAGGTCACCTCCACAACATTTTGAGAACTACCCTCATTCTCCAAAACAGTGTAATTAATTGAATTACATTTCTCTTAAAAGTGATAAACTTAAGTTTGTCCTTGAATTTGAACTACATACTCTACAATATTGACAAATTACCAGTTATATTAATGACTGATATGATTGTTTACCCTGGTTTATCTAATTAAATACTTGATAGATAAATTAAGTAAATATATTTATATGGAGATACTGAATCTGTTCAATATAAGGTGTAGTCATAGCTAGTATAGATAATTTACAAGGCCAATGACCTGAAGACATTTTAAATCATTTTAGCTGCATATAGTACTATTCTGTCTGATGTTTGACTTTTAAACCCCTTTTGTTACATTTTGTAGTTGCTATAGATCTAAATGATCACAAGCAAACTTATATATTACGGTCCACAGACTAAAAATCCAGAGCTCAAGTCTTGACCAAAGGTTGTTATTTATTGACAATATTGTTATGGACAATAAGACTGCAACATCACCACATCAAATTAATGATCACTACATCTACTTCAAGGAGATATAATGAGTTACCTACCTTGGATTCTTAATCTCTATGCATTATTCCCCTTTGTTCACAGAGACATGGTAAAACTTAAGTTACCTACCTTTGATGCTAAATTTCCTTACATTATTCCCCTTTTGTTATTAGATGAAAGAGTTTCCTACCTTTAATGTTATATACCTGCATTATTCCACTTTTGATCAAGGAGACAGAGGAGGAAAAACGAGCAACCACCCTTTCATGTTAAATCTCTGCATTATTTCCCTTTGTTTAAGGAGAAAGGGATAAAAAGAGTTGCCTACCTTTGATGTTAAATCTCTATGCATTATTCCCCTTTGTTCATGGAGATATGCCATTCCAGCAGCAATATTTTGAGCAATGTAAACCCGTGTAGTCCATGGTAACTCAACAGAACTGTTGGCCAGCAACTGTTCCAGGTCACCATTGTTTATGTACTGAAAAAAACAAAATAAGAAAATTTGTTTATAAAAAAGCACTACTAGTATATCTTGTTTTTCAAGAAACCAAACTACATATCATTTAAGCTAATAGGAGGTAACTACCTTTAATGGATCCTAGTGCATGAAAGTAATCAAAGCATAAAGCAAAAATACAGGCAACAATTTCAAAACCACACTGGCTCAATTTGGCCGTAAACATGATCTATCTAAACTAGAATTCCTGGTTGCTGTAAAATTAATATCACTCAAGATTTGTTTTCAAACTCTTTAAATATAGACCATATCATCATACAACAAAACACCAGCACCTGTATCATATTAAGGCTTGCTTGCTACATCACTGTTATAAATCCAGGGGGGGGGGTGGTGTATCCAAAATGCATTATAGTCAAGGTCTATATTACTCTCATAAAATTATTATTATTACTATTATTAAGAGGCAAATTTCTTATTTAACTAGAAATGTGTCCATAGGACACGGGTGCCCCCACCGCGCCACTGTTCAGTCAATCTTTTTACTAAGTCAAGGGAAATAACTCTACAAATACTGGATAAATCCACAAGCGAAACCCCAGGTGCAAATCTAAATATGCTGAGCAACCTGCCCATTAGGTTTAATGACTATGTCAAATCCTTTTTGAGTAGCATGCGACACAAGTTGAAAATTGCAAAATTTTACTAAGTCAAGGGCAATAACTCTGAAAATACTAAAAATATCCAGAAGAAAATACCCAGGTGCACAACTACACATAATGATCAACATTCCTGTAAAGTTTCATGACTCTAGGTCAAATACTTTTTGAGTTACGTGCAACACAAGTTGAAAATTGCAAAATTTTACTAAGTCAAGGGCAATAACTCTGAAAATACTAAAAATATCCAGACGAAAATACCCAGGTGCACAACTACACATGCTGATCAACATTCCTGTAAAGTTTCATGACTCTAGGTCAAATACTTTTTGAGTTACATGCGACACAAGTTGAAAATTGCAAAATTTACTAAGTCAAGGGCAATAACTCTTAAAATACTAAAAATATCCAGACGAAAATACCCAGGTGCACAACTACACATGCTGATCAACAATCATGTAAAGTTTCATGACTCTAGGTCAAATACTTTTTGAGTTACATGCGACACAAGTTGAAAATTGCAAAATTTTACTAAGTCAAGGGCAATAACTCTGAAAATACTAAAAATATCTAGACGAAAATACCCAGGTGCACAACTACACATGCTGATCAACATTCCTGTAAAGTTTCATGACTCTAGGTCAAATACTTTTTGAGTTACGTGTGACACAAAAGTGAACGGACGGACGGAAGGACGGACGGACAGACGGACAAGGGTAAATCTAAATGCCCGCCACTATCGTGGGGGCACAAAAAAATATATAAAATTATGCATAAAGTATGGTTAAAAGTAACAATTTAGTTCTAGCACTCGCACTGTAATATTTCTAGTTCTAGCACTCACACTGTAATAGCATTTAAATAAAAAATTTGATATCCTTTATAATGAAAATTTAATGTAATGACTGCTCAAAATCAGTGATCTTAATTACTTCAAACTATAAATTTGAATTTAAAATGCAGGCACTATTTTCAACTTCAACCATTGGTTAATTTTCAAATTTCAAATTTCTAACAACCAATCAGAATACAGCTTCAGCAAGAGACACATAGATCGACATAGATAGAAACAGCTTTTATTACAGAAAATATATTCAACTGTTACAATATCAACAATATTAATCTCAAGTTGCTGACAGAAATATTCAAATATTTCAGTTGCCCAGTTATATTCAAGTTTAAATTATGATTAAAACCAGATAATGAAAATGATTCTATTAAAACCATAACACTCTTGAAATGCTTTAAATTATATTACATTCCTTGAAAAGTTTATTTTTTCTCCTCATACATTTTGCGTAACGTCTTGCACGTAACACATAATGAAAATCTTCCTTTTTTTAACACTTAAAGAGACTCTTCAAATGAGACTTGGACAAACATTGTAAAAATAATGTCTTAACCTATTTCTTCAGACAGATTAAAAGGAACATGTCGGCAAATATTGTAAAAATGTGATTCAACCTAAACCCATGATTATTTGAGTACCAGTAGTTCTTCCATCATTTTCATTCCGCTTTCAAAATTTGATGATAAGTTGCACAAAAAACCCTTTTCATATCTATGAATCATACTCAGCACATACCATTATAATTTATTTTCAGAAAATAATACAAATGTTTTAAGTGCTTGAGATATGAATTTGTTTCGGTCACATTTTTAAAGTAAAGTATGTAAACAAACAGGGAAAACCAAACCAGGAAAAGGACTATGACTAAAGTTAATACATTGTACCACTTAAAGCACACTGATATAAAATAATATTTCACATTTCTGGGATTCATAAAAAACACTATTATACATTAATTAACCCATCTCTTTTCCTACTTTGTCATCTTTTAAGAAAAAAATGAAGGGGCACTAAAAGCTGGTGCCCGGTTATTGAGAGTACATGTGCAGTAAAGTTAGTCAATCTGACCTTATGAAAAGATTAGGAATGTGACGAGCTTGGCCATGTTTCTTTTAAATGGAGTAATATTTACCTTTACCAAAATTAGGGTATGTTTTACATGTTACCACTAGTAAATTTAATCTTCAATAGGGGAGCTTTTCCACCATTATAAACCCATATAGGACCTTAGTGTTTATGCCCAGAATATCATCAAATGCACACTGATATTCTTTCCCTGGAGTTAAACTGGTTATAAGCCCTTGAATGACCTTATACAACAATATGTTTTTGTCTTAAACCAAACAAAAAGAATAGAAAAAGATACATGATTCTACATGTACATAAAACATAAAAACACACAAAACAGACTTTTTCTAATACCAATAAAGTGTTATCTGAAATAATTTAAAAACAGTTTGGATGCTTCATTGTAAAGAGTTAATTAAAGCTACAGCTTTTTAATTATAAGGCATTTCATTTTGTTTTTAAATAAAGCTATGAAAAAACTGCTTTAAAAGCTTAACCGAAATTTTTCCATATGATTTACCACATCAATATATATCCCATCACTCATCTTGTAATATCCAATTAAAACTAGCTGATAGATGACACCACTTCAATTTGGCGCTATTTTGATATATTACTTGTACATTCAAGATTTTAAACTATGATATCTATGTTATAAGATATTTATGATCCTGTAAGGCAGATTATTATCTATGCACTAGAAAACCACAACAACAAATTGATTTAAAGTTCTAGAAAAATATTTATCTATTTATGGCTTACTCCTACACCTTGATTTATCAGTATATTCTGTTTTTGTCCTTTCTAAAGACAAAAATATTATCTTGAATATCGAGCCATTTACTCCTAAGAAATAGAGAGCTTTCCAAACAATATAAATTATAAAAGAGTATGACATTCAGTTCATTTCTGATATCCACACATCTTCTCACTTTACTTGTGATGATAAATGAACTTGTGTATCTTTTAATCTGGACTTTATTAGGGAAAATTTCAAAATATCTAACAACTGAATGTTAAGGAACAGTGTAGACAATGATCCAATCGCACAGATCTGATTTCCCGGCTGATCATTGTACTGCACTGGTAGCATAGGCAATATTACGTTGCTGCTTAAGCAGTGAAATTGTTAAGTCACAATGTACTTTGTAACAGACTGTCAGTGAAAATAACCACGGTTTCAAGTACAAAAGGTTCTCTTCCTCAACCTTAGGCCATTTCTTTTTCCCCCTTTAAAATTTGGGTTAATGGATCATTTGCAATGTAGTTAAGAGACTCATAAAGATTCCATCTGTTATGATGGTAAAGACATGCTGATTGTCTGAAGGTCACAGAAATAATGTATCACTGACTTATTTACACCTAAAACAAAATAAAGGTACAGTGTATAACCTGACATCCTATCTAGATCTGTTTAGTGTGAATAAAGTAAAAGAACATTAGACTGTAAGATACCGATAATGTTATGTTTGAGGCTAGTTTCCAACAAGGAACTGATTTCATTTCTCTATCTGACATGTATCATACTCAGATACTGAAGTAATATCTCTTTTCAATTTGTTTTGTATCCCATCGGTCTTTTCTCAATCTGTTTTGTATCCCATCGGTCCTTTCTCAATCTGTTTTGTATCCCATTGGTCCTTTCTGAATCTGTTTTATATCCCATTTGTTCTTTCTCAAACTGTTTTGTATCCCATTTGTTCTTTCTCAAACTGTTTTGTATCCCATTTGTCCTATCTCAATCTGTTTTGTATCTCATTGGTCCTATATCAATCTGTTTTGTATCAATTTGGTCCTTTCTCAATCTAATTTGTTTCCCATAATTGGTCCTTTCTCAATCTGTTTTATATCCCATCTATCCTTTCTGAAATGCTCAAACTGTTTTGTATCCCATTGGTCCTATAATCTCAATATGTTTGGTTTCTCATTTGTCCTTTCTCAAACTGTTTTGTATCAATTTGGTCCTTTCTCAATCTGTTTTATATATCATTTATCCTTTCTCAAACTTTTTTGTATCCCATTGGTCCTATCTCAATCTGGTTTGTATCTCATTGGTCCTATCTCAATCTGTTTTATATATCATTTATCCTTTCTCAAACTTTTTTGTATCCCATTGGTCCTATCTCAATCTGGTTTGCATCCATTTGGTCCTTTCTCAATCTGTTTTGTATCCCATTGTTCCTATATCAATCTGTTTTGTATCCCATTGTTCCTATATCAATCTGTTTTGTATCCCATTGGTCCTATCTCAATCTGTTTTGTATCCAATTGGTCCTTTTTCAATCTGTTTTGTATCTGATTGGTTCTTTCTCAATCTGTTTTGAATTTGATTGGTCCTTTATCAATCTGCTTTGCATTATATTGATCCATACCTGTTTTGTATCCAATTGGTTCTTTATCATTTTGGTTTATTTTGGTTCTTAATCAATTTCTCTTTACATTTG